CTGTTTCCCCAGGCTCCGTATGGTCCGGCCACCCATCCTCTCCTCCCGACCCCCGCCGGTTGAGTAGGGGGCAGTAGGCTCTGAGTGCAGGCGCAGAGTTGCCTCTCCCCTTGTCGGAACGCGTAGTTGAGTGCTTCCACCGTAAGGATCCCAGACGCCTGACTTTCGAGTGGCAGCGACCTCTGAACACTCTTGCCCCTCGGAAGGGTGTATTTAGAATAAATGTATGACGTTGCTGCAGATTTACCGTCATCAGTCAGGGTATCCGGGAAGCCTTCGCTATTCATGCTGATTGGCGTATTCGCTGTGTCATCTGCCAAGACGAAAGATGCCTGAGTGTCTGACGAGGCCTGACGCGATGGTGTCTCAGGACCAGGCGTTCCTGCTCGACTGAGTGGCCTCGAAAAGTTGAATGACGGCCGTGGTAGCGCAACAGAGATGTCAGAGCTGATAGACGGTGATCTTTGGTAGTGTGAAGAGGTGACAGCTGGAGACACGGCGGCCATACTAGACATGGCGCTGCCGCTGGACAGCTTGCGATGTGGCAGCGAATGGAAGGAGGAGCTCATGACACCGTCTTCGTCAGTTGGTACCAGAGGAGAAGACATGGTGCTGGATGCTGAAGGCCGCTTGACAAACATGGGTCGCGGTGGCGCTAGACCTGGTCCGTCGAAGGAGTGCTTCTTCGGCATCTTTTCAGGCGAAGCGACCAGAGAATTGGATGAGGATGGCATCGGGAGGGATGCGGCCGTGTCCTTGCGCGGCGATGGCACTACGGAGCTTGACGGCTCGTCCAGTTGCGCGGACTCCATCGGCGTCGGCGACTCTTCCCTCCTGGCCCCAAAGTTCGTCGAGTCTTCTCGAATGTGATTCAGCGTTCGTCCACGGGTTTGGTCGAGCATGGGCTGTGGCGGCAGCGGTATGCCATCGTCGGGAGTCGGGGGAATGCGGCTCATGCGCGGGTGCATCGACATTGGTCGCTGTAGGTTCTCTTCCACTTCTGGCATCAGGCCAAGCCCTCTGTCCAGGGGTTCAGGCGACTGGCTGGCTTCCGACATGCCATCCTGGGACATGGAGCGGAAGTAGTCTGAGCGACCTTGCATGACGAGTGGACTCTCGGTGGTGAGAGGAGGCAAGCGGCTCATCCGTCGACCAGCGTTGTCGCTCTCTTTCAATTGACGCGCGAGCAGGCGACTCTGAAGGGCGAAGGCATCGAGGGGCGAGAGCTCGGGGGGGATCTCGCCGGCGACGTGAAGGCGAGGCGACCGAAGGGGTTTCGAAGCGCTAGTCATGTTGGAGGAGCTCGACTTGGAGCGCAAGTCGAGCAGAGTTGGCCGTTGGGCCATTTTGGAAGTCGTAACGAAATAGTTCGTCGGGGGTAATGTCGTCAAATCGTAGAGCAGAAGCAAAGTGCTGTAGCACGGCGACGCGCGACAAGGAGGTTGGAATTCGGGTAGCGTTCGACGTGTCTCGGTGGTTGGATTGGGTATGTCGTCAAACTCAAGTTCGGCAGGGAGGGGTGGAAGAGGCTTGAGCCATATGAGGTAAGGCGATTCGGAAAACTGTTTGGTGACGACCAAATGCTGCGGTTGTGGCTGATTGGAATGTTGAGGCGGCGCGCATGAACAGCAAGTTGCAGTCAACCCTGCAAGTGCGGCGACGGGCAATACGGGAAGAATGCGTCAAGGCGCGGCAGCCAAAAGGCACGATGTTGAGCTGAGTACCTAGGTAGTGTACCGCGTAATGGCGAAGATGCGGAACCGGCGAAATGGGCGTGTGTTGGGAATTTGCCGTGTTTGTGTAATGGATGCGTATGTTTTTTTGTGTCGCTGAGGAGATGATGAAAGAGAAGAAGGAGACTAGGGAGGGGAGGGCTCGTGTCGTCAACGGTGCTTGTCTGAGATGAAGCGCTAGGATCTTTCTCTCAGTTGTTGCAGATGGAAATGAGCGTGGGGAGGGGGGTGGTAGGGAAACGGAAGAAGCTGGCTGGCGTCAAGCTAGAACAGCGAGTTTCCAGACGTCCAGGAACGTTTCCGGGTGCTCACTATCTCTTTCTCTCTCCCTTCGTTTTTTGCCAGAGTGGAAAAAAAAACAATTAGCAGAAAAGAGAGGGGAACGACGAAGGAATACGAGGAGGGGAGACAATTGAACAGCGGTAGACGGGGTGACGAGATGTAGCAGAACTCCTCTCCTCCTGAACCAGTTCCTGCACCTGCTCCGTTCGGCTGGCTGCCAGTGACTGCTGTGGAAGGGGCCGGTGGAGCGGGACTGGTGGCTGGAGAATAAGGGGACTGGTAGCGACTTCTCACTGGCCTTGCAGAGGCTGTTGGTGCCACAATGGACGAGTTGGGCCCCCCCCGGGCGGGGAGCCTTTGGCCGGACCCAGTTAGAGGTGCATGTGCCTGTCGACAGAGCTAGGCTGGATGGGGATTAGTAATCCAGGGGCCAGAGCATCGGCGATGGGCCGTTATTGGCGAACACGGCAACGCCACGCCTGTGGTCCTGAGCCACTGAGATCCTGGGGTGCAGCCTAGAGACCGCCCGACCTGGAGCGCTAGCATTTCTTCTTCCTGTCCCTGAAGTGTGCCCCTTTTTTCGTTTCGCCCGCCCGCCAGACTTGTCTCCAACGTTGAATCGTCATTGGATTCGGGCGCTTTGATTCAAGATTCGGTTTTACTCATTGTTGTTCCTTATTAGCTCTTCAACTCTGTGCCCATTTGAAGCGGGATAGTCTGTTTCCTACCGTTGGGCGAAGTGTCTGTCTGCCTAGACCACATCATTCGTATCGCCCACTCCTTTGATGCGCTGGATGGCGCAGCTGAGGCTTGTGGCAAAGCCATTCATCATCACCTGGGTTCTTCGCCATCTTCGTCCCAACTTAGCAACTTGACACGACATGCCTAACACGGCACGGCACAGTGGCCAGGCACACACCTGGCTTCTCTATTTCGGCCATCGGAACCTGTATACGGCGGCGACTCTGAGGCGTGTCGTACTGTATAGGTGGTCTCCTCAACAGGCGCACGATACGACTCGAGGGTCTCGCCTGGGCCAGATCGTCTAGTCTCTCCCCACCAAATGACCGGCTAACTTTAGCAACAGTACCCCGTCAAGCCCGTCCATCGCTAGTCGGGTAGGCCAACCAAATCTAGCCCCAAGTTGTGCCTTTCTTCAGCGTTTCGGCAAGGCCAACACTTATGACCACGTACCTGTCTTTGGGGCGGCAATTTGGGGTCAACCAAGCATTGAGAAAGACCACAGACCTCATCGAGCATCTCGGCATGGTCCCTACCCTTCCCATCCTCACCAGCATCGTCACATCACCATGATGGTCAAACAAGGGACCCTGCTCATCCGTTCTAGGTCAGGCCGACTGCCTGCCTTCCGTTTCGAACCCCTCTCTGGCCCCCCCTCTGGCGCAGCTAACACCACAGACCCATGTCGTGCTTCCTCACTTGCATGTGTCTCCCATTCTCGCCCCGGTCGCAAATCTCCCGTCGCCCCTGCATTGGGACTCGGCCTGGCGGTCTCATTGGCCCGGGCTTGGGCGCGCAATATCGTGACTGTGTTTTCTCTGCTTGTCACACGCGCCCTCGTGGTCCTCTTGTTTGCTTGCAGCTTGCCTCATGTGGATGACGGCCGAGGCATTGTCACGCCTGGTTGAGTCGTGGTTGCTTTTACTATTGATTTGTGGCTGGCCTCGATGCGGCGCTGGCAGTGGCCCTCGTGACCGCAGTGGAGATTGCGCTGCACCATGTGGTGTTTTCACAACGTCCTCGACTGCTCTCACTCAGTCAAGTCGGTACCTGGCAAGCTGGGGTTGGGCGCCCGGCAAGGCGTGGGCGACAGATTCGCCAAGCCGGGGAAAGGGTCTCAGGACAGCGTCAGTCGTTCTGGGGACTTCTGCGAAGGGATGCGGGTCTCATCAGAGCGACGTCACTAGTCCTGCTGCCCTGCATCCTGCGTTTTTGCGTTGATTGTTCGTACGCCCCGCCCCCAGTGCTCTGAAGATGCACCCCTTTCCTCCCCAAATCCCCTCAGCCGCCCCAAAGCTTGTAATGAGCTGCGTGCGTATGTACGGAGTTTAATGCACAGTCCAGTCTTTGTTCCGTGGGTCAGTCCGCTCCACTGTGTGTGTTGTGCAGGAGCGGGAGGAACCTCGATCCACGATTTTCGATGTCGATGTTCCCATGCAAGGAAACCTACGATGCACTGCTATATCACGCTTAATGATGCCTGAGTCAGTCTGCACCTGCCATCCCGCTCGTCCATCAGACACCCACGGCCCCTGGACCGTGCAGATGAAGTACTTTTCCGCTGAGGTATGAATCTTCTGCCAACGTAAAGCTTATTGCCGAAGGCCATCTGGCAGTATTCTGAGAATGGCTGAGGCGAAATACGACGATACATCCTCACAGGTATAAGTACGTGGGAGTTTTGAGGCTGCGTCGGCCGTGCCTTCACAGATTGCGTGACACTCGAGGCGTCTAAGAGCGGCTATGTCTTGATAGGTACGGACCGGTGATTCATTGGATAGTATTTCAAATCAGAGGATACAGGCGTACTTGAGATCTCTTTACATCATCCTCGAGCTCTTCTAGCGGCAAGGAACAAAGACTTGGCCGAGAGCCTTGACAAACGGCCAGCAGCATGTCATTGGCGCTTAGCTCAAACAGTGTCCCATTTGGTATTTGGTGGTGCGTCGCTATCAGTCAGCTCGCTGCATGTCGAAAGGCGCTTACATGCAATGCATCGTGGCCTGCCCATCGTGGCGTGGCAGCCACGCACATCCACTTGCAATTGAGGGACATCGCTTTGACTGCTGTCCTGGTGGAAAGAACCAATGCACCTGCTTGACATCGCTGCGAATTCAACCCCGATTGAACTCAGACAAAGGCAACTTGGTACGGCGTGCTAAGGTTTCAAGATACCATAGACCCGCCATCTCCAAGTGCCAACGGGGTGCATTGACTTAGGTTTCACAGCAAGTAACGGTTGCTATATTAAGCTGAATTTTGCCCGTTGGCAACTATTGCCAAGGCAGACTCTCCATATTGTCTCACTGGGTATCGACGTCCGCAGTCCACTCAAACCTGTTACTAGAAGTCCTCGCCCGCCGAAGCCAGATTTTCACTTCCAGACATGTGGCTATGCCTTGATGCTTGAGACCAGTTGCAAGATGGTACACAAGCCTCGTTCCGGCTTCAAGTTCGCATGTGAACGGCTCCTTCGTCTTTCTTGCTCGGTGACTGCCGTGACAAGTGGGCTTGCGTAGTTGCGGGGCGAATTTGAATCTTTCAACGTGGCTGAGTTCAATCGCTTAGACGTTGGCTGCGCCCTGGCAGTCGTCGCAGCCTATCATGCCGGGGTCGTCTTGTTGATAGACGATATATTTTGTATTTCCTGTAAACTCCAAGAACGCCTTGACTGCTCCGGACCTCTCGAGCGAAGTAGTGAGGATTCCGCGTTTCCTCGCGTGGTCGCCATTCCCCCGCATTGCAGGCGATGCCGTGCTCGCTCGTTCGTGATCAATAATAGTACAGTGCTCATACTCCATGGTTCTAGCGCCTCTGCTGCTGGAATTGTGCGCGCAGCGCCATGATCTGGGCGCGCTCCGCTTCAGGCAGAGTGTTGATTGTTTCGATTGGGAGTTCCATGACCTGCCTCATGAGTGCATCTGTGTCATGACCCAGCGCAGGCGCAGGCGCGGGAGCGGGGGCGGGGGCGCCGTACACTGGCTGTGGTGGCGCAGGATACGGTGTCGCCGCAACAGGCGGGGTGTTGATCGCGCCGGCGGGCGGGTATCCGGGTACACCCTGCGGTGGGAAACCGGCCGGAGGAGCCTGAGGCGCTGGTACACCGCTGCCGGGCTCGAGAACACTGTGAATAGCCTCTGGTGACACAAGTCCCATGAGGAGAAGGGCCTGGAAGACGGCGTAGGACAGCTGGGGAGCCTGTTGAAGAAGCTCTGTTGCGCGGGCCGGATCGTTGGAAGCCAAAGCTTTCATTTGTGTCAGAATATCAAGAAGCTGCGAAGGAGGGAGCGTGTTGAGCGTGCGAGAGATGGCGTCGGTCGCGGTAATGTTGGCGGGCAGTTCTTTGCCAGGAGGAAGCGGAGGAAGTGTGCTGGCTTGTGGAGCGGCAGGTGCTGTTTGGCCATAGGTGTTTGGAGCACTAAAGCTGAGACCATCGCGACCCTACCATCGATCAGAGTGCGCCTTTGGTATAAGAACAGTGGTCTATTGCTCACCTGGTTGAAATCATTGTCGTCGGTGCCCCCTTCGTTAGAGAAGTCAACCCTCAACTTGCGACCCATCGTTTCGTAATCATTCAGGTTTCGAACTGCTGAAGCGGCAGAATCTGTTTGGGGAAGAAAAGACTTAGCAACACGGAATTGTAGGAAAACAGGCGCGACCAACCGTGGTCGGGGTATTCGGCAAATCCGAAGCCCTTTGGTCTTCCTGTTTCGCGATCGTAGACAAGACGGAAGTTGATAACTTTGCCAGCGCTGCTGAAAATATCGGTGATTTGTTCTTCGGAGAGACCTGCATCTCAATGAGTATAAACTGACGAGAGCTGAAGGGAGTCAACATTGCGCACCGTAAGGGATGTTGCCTACGAAGACAACGCGGGAAAGCGTCTTCGACATTGTGCGAGCGGGATGGGATCTAGCTTGTAGTGGATGAGGATGAGGGCGTTCTTCGGGGCGATTGTTGGGTGCTAGTTCCGCTCAAAGTGGTAAGATTATCATGAACGCTTGCCGAAGCTGCTGTGCATGCAGTTTAAGCTTGGGTCGTTGTCGGGCTGGTCAATGTTGAATGCCGTCAACCAAACCCGTGAATCCTCTTAGGGATTTTTAGGAACGTAGTCTGGACGTCACAGTAGCTTGAGCACGGGCCACAAGCAATGGATGAGCTTACATAATGCACGCCTCTCTCGTCTTTGTATCACGTGGTCCGGACATGCATCACTGAAGCTATTTGCCTTTGGCATTTGCTTACCTCGTCACCTCTCAATGCAAGTTGGAAACATATGTGAATTGTAATTTTATTCTTCGATAATATAATCAGAAACCATTCTAAGCCAGCCCAGAACTCCTAGCCAGATGCATGAGGCAGAGTCAGAGCTGCCAGCACCAGATTGTACACACCCCCGCCCACATATCAACACCCTTGTCCCCGTCCCCTATCCAATGCGCAAAACAGTGCATTTAGTTGTCCTTGGATCGGATCTTCTTCAGCCTCAAAGAGCCCTCGAACATGCCACGATCAACCGCGGCGGCTACGGTGAGGGTACCGCCAATGACAGCGCAGAGTCCGGTCAGGAAGCCGGTGAAAGACTTGGAGCGCTCCTCACGGTTGATAACCTTCATGGGAGAAATATCCTTCACTGTGTTAGCGCATCTTTTCCAAAAGTGTGGGCAAATCATGACGTACGTAAGAGAAGAAGACGCCGGGTATGCCACCGCGGGTGTGTAGGCGCTCAGCGTGTCCCTCAGCAGAATCGTCGCCGCCCGACAGGCTGCGCTTGTGGCTTGTCACTGAGTACTGGTGCGTCTCAATGCTGCCGTCACTACCCTGACCAAAGGATCCAAGGAGCCCACCGTCATGGTCCTGGGGGGAGCGCTTGCTGTCCCAGCCGAGAGGCAGGTAGGAAGTAGGGACGATCTTGACAAAGTACATAAAGTTGAAGCTGGGGTCCGTCGTGATCTGGGAGGTGCCGTCGAGCGGGTTCAAGTGATGGTTCGTCCAGGGCGTGGCCTTGTTGCCAAGGTTCTTCGTAATGGATTCAGGCAGCTGGGGACCGAATCGTAGAGCGTGAATCTGGTGAGTGAAGTCGTGTGTGATATCGCCGTCCCAGTAGTTCTTGAGGTCGTGAACATGCATGTTGCCGTTGCTGAAGCTGCGACCCGGTGCCAGATGGAAGTTGCCGACGACCTTGTTCACGCGCAGTCCGCCTTCAATACGACAGCCCTCAGCGCGCTGCTCGTCGAGCCTCTCGGCGTAGTGCTCACGAGTGCACTGCTCGACGTTCTCGCCCTTGCCAAACGCCCACGACGCCTGCGCATATGCCTCCCGCACCTCTTCGCACGTGTTGCAGCATCCCTGCTTCACAGCGTTGGCGGGAGCCTTCGCGCCGTAACAGTCGCCACAGTAGTCGGGAGCCAGATGGGTGGCGGCTTCGTCCGCAGCATGTCTGGAGCCGGTTATGTTAATCGAAATGTCTTCCTCGGCGCACAAGTACAGCCACTTACAGGCTCAAGGCCTTGGTGTCAATGACACCACCGCCGTCCTTCTGCGACCTGAGGCGGACCTTGGAGATACCAGAAACGATACCGTGTTGCTGTTCGCCCGAAACATCCATGACATCGAGCGTCAGAAGCTCACATGGCATTTTAGGGAAAGTCATGTTCAGATGGATCTCCATCTTCTCGCCTGTGCAGGACCGCATTAGTTCTGGCAACCACCTGCAGTTTTCTGGACATGTTTACCTCTGCCCTTGTCGACGATCAGCTCTGGATGCAGCGTTATCCTCCGGTAGTCGGCCCATTCTCCCCACGCCAGCCAAAAGACAATGAAGAGCGAGACAATGGTGATGATGCCGCCCGATGAGGTCCGAATGCGAGCCTCGTCGACAGTCTTTGTGAAGGCATCAAGCCTGGTGAATCTAGATTTTCCGGCCATTTTGCCAAAGGTTGTCAAGCGCAAGGAGCTGGTGTGTCGATGTTTCGGTTGGTCTTCGAACAGCTAACGTTGAAACGGAGCAAGACTTGTGTCCCCCACCTTCCAGTTATTAAACGCGGCGAGTCGAGGAGAGGCGTCCGGGGAAACTTGAAGAAACGGCAATTCAATTGCAATGTAAGCACGAAGACAATTGGACCAAAAAAGAGGTCAGGAGAACAGCGATCCGAGATCAAGCTGGTGTCGCAAGCAGAGGCAGGCGGGAGGAGCTCAATCTGTAATCACTAGATTTCGTGCTTGAGGCCACCTTCACATTTTCGGGGGCCACTAACAGCTGCGGCTAAGGTAAGAACTGCAGGGGACAAGGGTCCTCGTTGTCTCAGGCTTTCCATGTTGGGGTAGGCGGCGTAGGCCAGTCAGTCCTGGCGCATTTGGAGAAGGTCGGTTTACGACATAGCCGGTTTGCATAATATACGACAACCCGCTATGTGTATAACTCAGTCGACAAGAGTCCAACCATCGCCTTGAGCAAGAAATCCCCCCCAGTGATTGGACGCATTAAATGCCTTCCACCGAAAATTACAGAGGGCTATCACACTAGGTAGTCAAGAAGATGGAGCAATGCATGATGATTTTGGGACATTACTTGAATAAATGACCTCAGTGCCCTATACTCAAGTATATTGTGGAGTAGAATTAATAGAGAGAACTACGGGGAATATCAGGTAGATATGTAACAGAAATATCATAGTGTAAGGTATGTAGGAAAAGTCATGATTGGAACCCAGCATAAGAAGCCTCGCCGCGCAAGGTTCTTACCGTCCGAAGGCACTACCCATCCCTGAATCTACATGGGTGTAGCTTATTTTACCCCAGATTAACTCGAGAGGTGCGATTATCGCAAGTCAAGGATAATCGATCACACCCTGAACGATGCCTGCCTCGAGACGCGTTGTCCCTCTTCACAACAGACGGCACCACGGCCTACCAAAGCATCCAGCAGGCGGACTAGATCTGATTCCTACAGAACTTATCGCCGAGGTTCTCAAAGCGCCGCATCTGTGATCTTTGACTGCTTTTTGGCGCGCAAACCACCGTGCTAGGGGCGTCGTTAGTTCGTTGCATTCATACGGAAAGGTAAATAGTCCCAGTCCAAAGAAAATAATAAAATCCTCAAACTCCTGGAAAGATCCCGAAGCACACACTGAACCAACAGTGGCGCAATACCAGAAAACACCGACCATGGTTGTGGTGACTACAGCAAAGGCGCCGTCTACACGATATTATACACCCTCTTCGCAACGATGAAGCAGGTTAGACCAAACGCCAATAAGCCCGCTGTCAGACACCAGAACCAAGTGAGGTCCCCCTCATATTCCTGCCCGGGAACCCATACGTTCATACCCCACAGCCCGGTAATGATGTTCATAGGCAAGACGATAGTGCCCAAGACAGTCAATTTCCCAAGCACGTCGGCCGTCTGTTCGGAGCGCTCATTCATACGAATGTTGATCTGGGCAAGGTAATTTGCGTGGGAACGTGCGAGGATCCTGATAATATTAGTGGTTGACGTAAGGACTGGCGATCCGTTTGCACGGTAGAGGGGATCGTACTTCTCGTAGTGACTCAAGTTTGATGTCATGGTCACAATGTGATCCTGAATATCGCCAAGGTACAGTCCAATATCGGACCGCGGTGCAACCTCCCATCGCTCGTTGCAACGCTTTGCGAAGCCCTTGATAACGTCTGCCTTGTTGCCCAAAAGCCGGTAGAGGCTCATGACCCGTTTACGACAATCGCCAACGCGTAGAAGCATATGGCTCTCCTTTTGGAAGGGCTGTCCGTCATCTGATGCCTTCTCCGAGTACAGTGGTCCATCTTTTGCCTGTACGTCGCCTGAAGAGTGCAGTCGAAGAATAGCATCATCAATGTCGTCAACCTCGTCCTCGATATTCTGAATCAGGGGACCAAAAACATCCGTGATGTCGTCAATGATGGCGTACGAGATCCAATCCGAATTAACGATGACAAAATCTTTGAGTTGACGAATACGTCTGCGGACGTTGGCAGAGTGAGGCGTCATCGAAAAGTGAAAGCTTAGAACACCCTCTCGGAACACGATAACGTACATGTTGACGGGCTCGAGGTAGTCTTCGCTCTCAGAATCTTGATCGAATGATCGATAGTTGACAAAGTAGTAGTGTCGGAAGAGCTCAACTTTCTCACGAGCCTCCTGCACCATGATATCCTCGGCCGTGAGAGGATGGATCCCGAACGCTTTGGAAAGAACCTTCATCTCGGCCTCGGTTGGACACAGCACGTCGAGCCACCAGACCGGTCGTTCGCCGAATTTGGGTTGTTTTGGTGTACCTTCTGGCTGAGAGACATTCGGCGTTGGCGACTTGACCCCCGTTGGTGTTGCCTTGCCTGAAGGCGCCCTGGAGCTCTCGTGTGAAGTCTTCTCATGGCCTGAGATGATTGATTCGGGCTCCTCGCTCAAGGGAGGAACAACAGAGCTCTGGCGCGTGGAAGTGCCGGAAACGCCGTTCTGGCCACTTGAGGCGTGGTTCTTCTGTGTAGCAGTCACCACTGACACGTCTTCCGCATCTGAATCATCGGACTCGCTGTCGTCTGACAGGACACGAGGTTCGGGAATGAATAATTCTCGGAAACTGCCACCAACTTGAACCAGCTCCGAAATCGTCTGACTGTGGATGGTGCTTTGAAACTCTTCGTTAAAATACGTGAATCGATACGGGCGAGTCCTCTTCGGGGCGCATCCAGCCTCGGTGCACCGTGCGGAGACGTCCGTTGATGAGTTGAGGCTCGGTGATGCGCTTGACCCTGCGTTCTTCACTGCGGCCCTCTTTCTCGATGCGGCTCCATTCATCGAGAATTGTGAGGTCAGGCCAAGCAGCGCGTCGGCGCCGAGGCCTCCGCATATTGTTCGATTCAAGATGTTCCTCTTCGCCCAACTCGGAGACACCGCTGGGGAAGCACACGTCCGCCTCGGCCTGCAAGGCAATGGTCTTCCTCCGTGCTATACCTGGGGATGTGCCTTCCATGCGTACATCGTGATCCGAGTGGTGATCATCCAAGCGATAATCATTATGCGGGGACCGACCGAGACGGGCGTCGAGCTCATCGGTGATCATAACGTCACCAAACGTCAGGTCTAGGGGATCCGAACCAGCAATTCGCGGCGAGCCTGGCATAGAAGGAGGGTAGTTGACGCTATTGAAGACAGGCTGGCGCTGCCTCGACGACCTGCTGGATCCTCGTCGACTAACGCGTGGCCTGGACTGGCTGGTACCACCCACGTAGCTCAAGGACGGCATGGTGTTTGTTCTCTGTGCTGACCGTGACAGCAAGGGCGCGTTCTCGTCCCATGTTGGCTCTCCCTCATCACCGCTGTCACCCCCGTGGGCGTGGCTCACGCGCAAACGACTGGCAGGCGGAGTTTGGAAGGACCCAGGTGTGGCCATTGTTGAGCCACGACGAGGTCGGAGTGGCTGTTGGTCGCGATGGTCCATCAAAGTCTGGCTGTCGAGGCTGGCATTGCTGAAGTTGCGTGTCTGCAGGTAGAAGTCGGGTCTTGCAGCGACGGGGGCGGTCGAAGCCTCAGCCTCGTCGTGAGACTCTTCTGGGAGCACAGCAAAGGACTTCCTCCTCCCACGCTTCTTCTTGCCAGTGCGTTTCTTCTTGCTGCGCGTCGCCTGCTGCGATCCAGGGACTGCGGGGGCAGAGGTGACTGGATTAAGGGGATTCGGAGGTGGCCGCTCAACCTGAGGGCTCTGGAGTGGTTTGAAGAAGTTGTTGTTCATACTGCCAATCGACGACGCTCCAGCCAGGGCGTGCTCGCAGAGTACCGCCTGTTGTCAGAGCCGAATCTCGCGTAGCGCCTGTCGCTATGTCCTGTCGGTTTTCTGGCGTTGCATACGTCGTAGGAGTCGACTTGGTGCGGTGAAGAGTTTGAACCGAAGCTAACGAAGGTAGGTAGATCGTCGATGATGAATCTGTGGGCAGTGGGCATTTGCTTTCGCAAGCGGGCAGCAAGGTTCCAGGCAGGTACAGCAGGCGGGGAGAACGGTCGAGGCGCTAATGGGATAAAGCTAGGAACGCTTCTGGGACCGAACCTGACAATCCAATGATGTCAGCGGAGAGGATGCTCCTGCCCGCCCCGCCGATTGGTCGCAAACCTCCAGAAGTCGACAATCGATTGGGCCGTTCTGGAACCATAGCGATCCACTGAGCTGAAGTCAGTCTTCCCTTATCTTTCCTGCTTGCACTGCACCTTGAGAGTGCGAGGGCTGTGACACAGTGGGACCGCCCACTGAAGCTCTAGACAAGCCAGCACCTTGCTCGTTAGAGCAGTTGGTCACGCGAGCTCTTGAAAGCTCTAATCCTCCCACGATGTAGCGACATAACCTTTGTGCGAAGATTGGTAGTCTCAATATACGTCGCTCACCTCCATTTTCCATTGTGACTACAGGACGTGGCACGACCAACAGCATCCGGGTATTTGTAGCACGCATCTATGTAGCCTCGTCTAGATTGACCTCCACCTGTCCGGGCGTCTCACGCAAAGTCCCACAGTTTAGCCACCAGACTATCCTCAATGCCAGACTCGGCGTCATTCGGAAGGAGGATTCTCTTGGGAATCTGAAACTCGACAACAGGCGGCTTCTTCACCGTCTTGCTCATCTCAGCCTCCAGAAGCTGTCGACGCAGTCAGTCATCACACAATGTACAAATTTCGACACAGGAGGCGGGATGACTTACGCTACCAAAAGAATGATCCAGGAAATCTTCAATGTTATAGGACTGCTTGGTAAACTGTTCCGAGATGATCTTCGTGATTGTCGCCACGTTGGGGTGGTAGTGCGACTGCAGTTGTACGAACTCCCACAGGCAGCTGTCAATGGCGTGTGTCTGCATCGGATCCGCCTCGTCTGGTAGGAACGGGTCGGCATAGCCTTCATCCTCCATGGCCCTCTTCGCCTCCTCGTCGCGCAGTACCCGGTGCATCATGAACGTGCACAGAGGGTGGCGCTTCATGATGTTGTAAGTCCAGGGCACAATGAAAACGATAGCTGCGGGCGGGGCGCTGAGAGACAGGCGTGCAAGACGCTTGATGAAGCTTGCGACGAGTACAGCAGGTAGATGCGTCGAGCGCAGGAAGGTGTCCATCAGGCGGAAGAACCTAGCCCTGTACTTGGAGTGCAAGATGTCGCGATCCAACAGAGAGTACAGTTTTGTGTAGAATGATGGGTAGTCGAGGTTCCTCTCCTGAATGAGGAAGAAGACGCCTGACAAGGCCAACAGCGACATGGAGCCGCCAGTGTTGTACGAATCGGTAAGGAAGTCTGCCAGCAATTCGGGCCTCGTGAACCACGGCGCGATATCCGTCGCCATGATCTCGAGGATGCGCTTGCGTTGATCCTTGGTCGTCGCGAGTTTCATGACTGCAAGCCAGGCATCCTGGCCTTGCCGCTGATGCTGGTGCAGGGAATTCAGGGGGTGCGCCTTCTTGCTGGGCTTCTCTAGGTGGTAACTTTCCAGCTTCTTAGGCACGTCGCCAATGGCATGCAGGAGTTCAAAGGCATCGTCGAAGAGTTCATCCTGGTCAGCGTCCTCCTCTGGCTTCTCAACGATGTTTCTGAGGTATGAAGGTCAGTAAAGATTGGCGAACGAATTGTCAACGGCAAGACTCACTTGATGGACTTCAACCCAAAAAACCGAACATCGTCGAACTCCGTCAAGTATTTGTCCACGAAATCTCCGCGAGCGTCGTCGCTGCTGGAGTTGAGGAGCGCCTTGATAATTTGCTGCAGGAAGGCCTGGGGAAAGTTGTACTCATCCGACTCGTACAAGTGTTGTGCCTCAGACTTCAGCATTCGCATGGCAAGTGTCAGAGCCGGCGATCCCAGCTCCTCATCTGTGATCAGCTCGGCTAGAACATCCTTGTACTCAAAGTAGCGTTCCCTGAGCCAGCCAACAACAACGGTGTCTTTCTCTGTCAGGCCCTTTTTCTTGATGAGAGACCCCGCGGCGAGCAATCTCACGAAAACTCTGGTAAGTGCGACAGAAGCGAGGGCAGCTGACTCGGGATCTGTCTTGTAGGCCTTGGCGATATCGAGAAGTTTTGAGATGTTGTTGTAGTGCTTCTTCGACTCGAGAATCTCTTGTTCCATAAGCAGAATCTCAGCTTGAGGGTCAGTCTCACTGGATCCATCGCTCTCGTCGCCGCTCTCCGAACGAGCACGCTTTTGCGCGGGTTCCTTGGCCTCTGAAGACCTCTTGCGCTTCCGGACGTCGGCTGAGGCTTTGGCGGGCATCTTGGGAAACTTGATCGAGCAACAGGACCTCCAATGCTCGATTGCGGCAAAGTGCTGGATTTCAGACGTTTGATGCCAAGACCTCAAAAATTTCCAGCGTCCATCCTGTACTGAAGAGTGGATCCTCCACATGAGCTGCAGGCGCCGGTCCGCCAGCACCCGGCAAATTCCCGTCCATCGAGCAAAACAGTCAGCCGCCTCACGTGATTCCTCCTACCCGAACTAGCGCGATCCAAAAAACCTCAACCTCATTCCCTGCCCTGCGAGCTCCGAATGACCTCAAGCCTCCCAATCCGCATCCCCAGATTATCTCAAAATGGCGTCCCGTTTGGCTAGAAGCGCTGCTGGTACGTCTCCTTCCCTTCCGAACCACCCGGCGAGGTCAATTGGCCCTCGCGCGTCGAGTATCGGCTCGCTGACGTGCCTCGTGTTTAGGAGCGAACCTCCTCCGGCCGACCGTGGCCCGGCGCACCCTGCCCGCCATCGCGTCCCTTACCTCCTCTCGCAACGTCTCCGGCGTGCCTGCTGAGGACCCTAAGAAGAAGGCCCAGTCCCTCATCGACTCCCTCCCCGGCAACTCGCTGCTCTCCAAGACAGCAATCCTGTCCTCCACTGCCGGTCTCAGTGTCTACGCCATCAGCAACGAGTACTATGTCGTCAACGAGGAGACCGTCGTCGCTTTCTGCCTTCTCGCCGTCTGGGGCGCTCTCATCAAGTACGGTGGTCCCATGTACTCCGAGTGGGCGGATGCCCAGAGCAACAAAATCAAGGGCCTCCTTGACCAGGCTCGCACCGACCACACCAAGGCCGTCCAGGTCCGCATCGATGATGTGAAGCAGATGTCCGGCGTCGTCGACATCACCAAGTCTCTGTTCGAGGTTTCCAAGGTACGACCTGTCCTGATGGCGCAAGGCACACGGGTGATGAACCCCGATGCGGGGTAGGCACCGCGCGTAGTTGAACCGACCGCTAATGCACCGTCACAGGAGACCGCCAAGCTCGAAGCCCAGGCTTTCGAGCTCGAGCAGAAGACTGCTCTGGCTACCGAGGCCAAGACCGTCCTCGACTCTTGGGTCCGCTACGAGAGCCAGGTCAAGCAGCGCCAGCAGAAGGAGCTCGCCGAGAGCATCATTGCCAAGGTCCAGAAGGAGCTGGAGAGCCCCAAGGCTTTGCAGCAGGTTCTCGCCCAGAGCATCACTGATGTCGAGAGTGAGTTCCTATCACAAAACACACACTGCTTCCGAGCACCCGAAAACTGACCATGCCTTCGCAGAGCTCCTCGCCTCCAAGGCCCAATAGACAACCAACCTCTACGTCGAACTTTAGACTCCATGAGAGGAAGATTTCCTTTGTACGAGGGAATCCCCTATGTGTTTATAAACACCTGTGCATTAGCCGAATCAACAAACTTGAACTTAATCCGCAATGACTGCCCAGCAGCCTGTCGCTCGCCGTCATTATGATAACCTTGAGACGTGACTTGAATTGATGACCTGCCATTCATGCCTGATATATGAAGCTTTACGCATTGGCGCAACAGAACCGTAATTGATGGGTATGAGGCCCCATGGCACAACAGACAAGCAGCTGGAATTTTCGGACTGACTATAATCACAACAATGTCTCGAAGCACGATGACATATTCCCGCCGCGCTTCCCGCTCCGATGTCCGAGCACATCGGCTGCCAACAGCACCAAACACTCACAGTCTCACCTGCAGCGCTCTGACCCTTGAGATGCCTTAACGTAATCCAACCCAGAAGCTTGACCATTCTCTCCCGGCTAATATTGTAAAGAAAGACTTCAGATGATATCCAGCATGTGTACAAAAGTACTGAAACCCCAGTTGATCGCTGAGGAGGCAAAAAGAATGGACAATGCGCGAATCGAACGCGCGACCTTCAGCAGGTAGGATCTCACGATTTCTCGCTTCGATGCTAAGCAGACGTTATACCACTAAACCAATCGCCCGTTGCGGAAGTGCGCAATTCTGATGGGATCATGGGTCTCAGAGCGCAGCAGGTGGAGTTGACTAGGGCTTTCAGGTTACGACTCGGTCTGGCCGAGATAGTCAAAGCCCAGATCGGGCCCATGACTGACGGGCCCAAGATGTTCCACGTTGAACAGATATTGCCGAGGTGTTCACTCCAGTATCATGGAAATTTCCAAATGTAATAACGATCATTGACCTAGCTTCAATCCAGGCGTCGTCTGCATAATCACTACAAAGAAAACAAGACACAGAGCCGTATCAGGGCTGCAGAATTAGTGTTGTAAGAAAGCGTCCCATACACCAACCATCTCAGTAAATCGGTCGCGACTCCTGCCATGTCGAACGCGCCGTTGACTTCTCTGACATTTCGTCCTTCCGATCGTCATCCGTTACAGCGCCAGTCCCGAATGACACGCGCCCACTCTTTCGCCTCCTTGCGCTATCGCCAGTGAGTGGCCCGATCCATTCCCAGGCGCGGCCGACCTCGCCGCTGCGGCCCTCGCGCTGACTTGTACGCACATTGCTGTTCTGCTCCACGACGGCTCTCACTCGGGACCAGATGCGATCCCGGCTCTTGAGCGAGTGCACAGAGCGGAGGACGTCGTCTCGTAGGTTTGGCAGGAACAGCCAAGGATCGTCAAGCTCCTCTTCGCCAAGCTCCTTCTGCGATGCAAGTCGTGCGAGGACCAAGTCAACAAGAGACGGAACCCGGGAGACCTCAGCCTTGTGGGATCGATAGCGCGCACGCAAATAAAAATACAAAGCCACCAGGGCGGCTAGAGATCCAGCTGGGAGTCGATATCTTGCCAATCCGAGCCGGAGGGACCGCTTGGCCGCGCAGCTGATCGAAAGGCGAGCGAGAGAGGTGGACGAGAGGTAGGTGTTTCGAAGGCCGGCGGAATCGGCTTGTCTGCTTCCGGCGCGACCGATCTGGTTAGTGATGCTGGTCAGAACGAATACTATTGTCGAGTAGGGTGTGGTAGGCCTGTGGGGATAAAGGTATGGAAATGGAGGGGCAACTCACTTGATGACCTCAACCTCCTCGCGGTCCTTGATATCTCCGATAGCAGCTGCCCAAAGATCGTCGAACTCTTGTTTGTTCATCTTCTTGCTGCGCTTTTCACTGATAGCCGACTTGAGCTCCTCCTCCTCAATGGCCGGGCTCTCCTCATGTTCACCTGTCTGGTCAACCAGATCGCCACATTCAAACTGGGCCCTCCTCTCACGAAGCTCCTCAACTGCCTTGTCGGCAACAGCCTTGATCCGCCTGACCTTCTCGCCATCGGGCTCGCAGGTGGGCGGCAGCGGTACCAGACCGCCGAGCGAAAGGGGATGAGGCTTCATGATGAAGTTGTCATCACAGCGCACAGTATAGTCCTCGAAGCAGTAGGCGTGTTGAGGGCAACGCTCGCACTGGGGCTCAATGTAGGGGACGATCCAATCGGGAACTGACACCTCAGGGGGGATGATCAGAGTTGCAGGTCTGCCGAGGCCACAGTAACCGACGGCGATCTTCTCCTGTCGATACCAGCCACCGTAGGCTCCTAACAGAGTGACTGCAAGCGCCATCAAAGGTGTCCTGAGACCAGAGCGCTTCTTCGCTGGCTTAGGTCGACGTTGCTCGAGCAGACCGTTGGCGCCCTTCATGGCTATTTCCATTTCCAACTCAATTTGCTCTTCAGGAGTAAACTCCTCGCCAGCATCCAGTTCAGATACATATTCGATCTCGTGCCGGATGGGCTTGTTGGATTTAGCAGACTTGGGCCGCTCGTAACCATCAGTGCGACGTCGTACGCCGGCGTCGTTGAATGTAGCCGGAGCGTCATGCCCGGCTGTTCGCCTGCGGCTGCTGCTGGGCCGGGAGGCAGGCGCCGGGGAGCTCCCGCTCTGGAACGGGTTCTCGGCGGAGAAGTTGACATCCGTCTCTTTAAGACTGAAGAATCCATCCTCTGCATCCTCGACTTTGACCTGAGGGGTCACCGTTCGTGTGCTCCTCCGGACGGACCGAGGCGGCTCTGCCTCAGTAGGATATAAGTCTGCGGGCGGATGAGACAGTTGGCGACTGGCGCCCCGAACCTTGCGCTTGGTAGGGCTGAGAGGCAGGGCAGGCTCGTCTTCGTAGTCCTCTGGACGTAGCCTTGCCGAAGCCTTGCGCGGTGAACGAGAGCGTGTTTCGCGTGGAGGTGGTGGTGCCAGATCAACGTCTTCGTCGTCGAAGGACGCCGTGTCGTAGGAGTCGCCTCTGGGCATGTTGATAATGCCCATGCTCGAGCGCTTGGCGCGCGCTTGCTTGTCGAGGAACTTCTTGGCCTTCGGAACAACGCCTTCGTTGAAAATGTCGATGAGCTGCGGCTTCTTCGCCGTCGCGGGGTACTGAACGTCGTGCGCCACCAAAATGGAGCGCAGCCGTGGTACCGTCAGCGACTTGGGGTCAAACCCAGGCTGGAGGTACTCGTACGCCTCGTCCGACATGATGGTGACGTTATGTCAGTCGGCACGTCGATAACGTCTGTCGGGTTTTGAGTGTGGCAGGTTTGAACGATGACGATAGCGGGAGGTGAGACAGGCGATGACAGCCGTGAAAGAAAGGAATGAACGTCTGCAAGAGGGCCGGCGGATAGAGCTGCTGGCTGCAGGAATGCGACCACGCAACAGATCTGGCCTCGGCTCTGCGACCAAGTTAAGCGAGCACCAGGGAAAAAAAAAAGGTGTTGATGAGCAAACGATGCCAGAGGCTGTACATAGGGCGGGGGCACAAGTTGTTGTAAACTCGAAAGTCCGATTGCTGTCCTGCTGAAAGCGAGCTGTTATCTTGTCTCTGTGGCAACCCGGGGGTGTCCTAATCTAGGTACGGTAGGTGGGTTAGTCGGCTTCGATGACTGCTGAGGTGTAGGCGGAAAGGTGGGGTGACGTAGGGGTCAAGTTCCGCCCCCGAGTGGTCTGAGCGTGAGCTAGACACGCTAGGCCTCTTCTGGACTTTTGCTGAAGATGCTATCACCACGACTCTGGTGGTACCGAGATGGCATGATTCTTGGCTTCGCTTTCACGACACCAAAATGGCTTCCAATCCCCGTCACTTGATAGCAGGACCTCGCTTTGTGTGCCGAAGCTGTACACAACGTGCTGCTACCCAAAACAGGAGGTCTTTCGCCACAGCTGCCGCGTCCAATCCTGACATTTACGATGTCGTCTGCGTGGGAGGCGGGCCGGCTGGCCTAAGTCTTCTCGCCGCCCTTCGTAAGCAAATCAGAATTTCGTACTCTCGTTCCTGATCGTATTGCTGACCTCGACAGGCTCGAATCCTACCACTTCACGCCTCCGCGTCGCTCTTGTCGAAGCCCAGGACCTGTCGAAGACACGCAACTGGACTCTTCCCGCCGACCGATTCTCGAACCGTTGCAGTTCTCTCACGCCTACCTCTGCGCAATATCTCAACTCGATAGGTGCATGGAGCCACATGAAGCGCGAGCGTATCCAGGCGTATCAGGAGATGCAGGTCTGGGACGGTGTCACTGATGCGCGCATCGAGTTTGACTGGACGCCAGATTCCGTCACTTCTGGCGGCAAGACGATTGCCTACATGTGCGAGAACCTCAATCTGACTTCGGGTCTTCTTAAGCGGTTGGAGGAGCTCGGTGGTGTCTCTGTCTTTGACGCCGCCAAAGTGCAGGATATCACTCTAGGAGAGGAGACTGAGGAGCTGGACCTCAGCCAATGGCCCGTAGTCCACCTTGAGGGTGGCAAGCAGTTGCACGCGAGACTTCTCGTTGGCGCTGACGGCGCAAACAGCCCTGTCCGCTCCTTCGCGGACATCAAGAGTCGCGGCTGGGACTACGAGAGGCACGGAGTCGTGGCGACGCTGGAGATGGAAGGTGATGGCTGGGGCGGCGACTACAACAAGACGGCGTATCAACGCTTCCTACCAACTGGCCCCGTGGCCATGCTCCCTCTGCCAGGCAAATACTCGACCCTCGTCTGGTCGACGACGCCTGCCAACGCCGCGCTGCTGAAGAGCCTGGCTCCGAAGGACTTTATCGCGCTGGTTAATGCGGCTTTCCGCCTGAGCCCCGTGGATGTCAAATTCATGCACACTACGTCATCCGGTCAAGACGAGGAGCTGCAGTGGAGGCTGGACCACACGCCCGTTGATGTTGCGGCCATCCCCCAAACTGCAGTCGGCGTGCAAGAGGGCACGATTGCGTCCTTCCCGCTGAAACTCCGCCACGCAGACACCTACATTGGGGAGCGCGTGGCCCTCATCGGTGATGCTGCTCACACGATCCACCCTCTCGCCGGACAAGGCCTCAACTCGGGCCAGGGCGACGTCCAGAGCCTCGCGAAGACGATCGAGTACGCCGTTGCCCACGGCCAGGACATCGGCTCGTCCCTGTCGCTTGAGACGTACAATTCGGAGCGGTACGCTGCCAATCATGTCCTTCTCGGTGTTTGCGACAAGCTGCACAAGTTGTACTCTGTTGAGAGCGGGCCGCTGGTGCACCTCCGCTCTCTAGGCCTGAACGCTGTCAATGCCGCGGGCCCTCTCAAGAAGTTCATCATGGATCAGGCGGCGGGCAGTGGAGCTAGGTTTATCTAGGACGTAAGCTCCTGCCATGTATTGCTGTATAATTTTGTATCAATTGTAAATCTTGTTCTACTACGACCGTGGGATTTGATGTTCAGGTCTACTCGCATAACACATACTTCCTTTCTTGAGGCGAACCCCCTTGTGCATTATACGGCACTGTACTGTAGACAGCGAAACCACCTCATAGATTGTAAACAGACACAAGCCCTCTCTGTACATATTAAGCGTACACATCCTCGTGGGTGTATGGTTTGCTTGGGTATATAGAGTCGAGACTATAGGCATGAGACACGACATATGTAATTGCTGGAGCTCACGAACAGTCGCATGAGAACAATGACGGTCACTCAATCGAAAGAGAACCATCAACTTTGCCACGCGTCAAGAAGGCAACTCGGTACGTGCGTAGACGGACAGAACGATGTGAAGCAACAGAATGAGATATATACGGCGATGCACCTTCTCCTTCCAGCCTACAAGTACAAACGGAACAGACCTTACGATCTCGAAATTTCTTTTACCACCTCGCCCTACGTCTACCGATCGACCTCGCCTGTGGGCCACGTTAGCAGGAGGCAAACATTTACAGAAACGGAAAAACGTACCGAACACCAGATCCATCGTACCGATAACGGCGACGGCATCAGCCAACATGTGGCCCTTGCAGACATGGTCGAAGCCAGCAAGATGGGCAAATCCAGGAGCACGAATGTGGACGCGGTATGGCCTCTCACTACCGTCGCTGACAACGAAGACACCCATCTCGCCCTTGGGGGCCTCGATGGCGGAGTAAGTCTCACCAGGGGGCACAGCGTAACCCTTGGTGTAGAGGAGGAAGTGGTGGATGAGGGCCTCCATGTTCTCCTTCATGGCGGCACGGGGGGGAGGGGAGACCTTGTAGTCCTCGACACGGACGGGGCCGGCGGGCATCTTGTTCAGGCACTGGTGGATAATGCGAAGGGACTGGCGGAACTCCTCCATGCGGACGAGGTAACGGTCGTAGCAGTCGCCGCGGACTCCGACGGGCACGTCGAACTCAACCTGGTCGTAGGCGTCGTAAGGCTGGCTCTTGCGGATATCCCAAGGAACACCAGATCCGCGGAGCATGGGGCCGGTGAAGGAGAGGTTCAACGCCTCGGCGGCGCTGACGACACCGACACCCTGCAGACGCTGAAGCCAGATTCGGTTGTCAGTCAGCATCTCCTCAGTCTCGTCGAGCCTGTCGCCAAACTGCGTGGCCCACTGGTAGATATCGTCGAGCAGGCCGACGGGGATATCCTGGTGAACGCCACCAGGGCGAACGTAGGCAGCGTGCAGACGGGCACCGGAGACGCGCTCGTAGAATTCCTGCAACAAGTCAATCCACCGTTCTCACGGGTATTTACACCGGAAGGTCAACCTACCATGAGCTTCTCACGCTCCTCAAAGCCCCAAAGGAAAGGTGTCAAAGCGCCAACGTCCATGGCGTGGGACAGGACGGACATGAGGTGGTTCAGGACTCGGGTGATCTCGCCGAACAGGGTGCGGATCCATTTCGCGCGGTCGGGGATTTCGATGTTCAGAAGCTTTTCAACGGCCAGAGAGAAGCACTGCTCGTTCGTCATCATGGAGACGTAGTCGAGACGGTCGAAGTAGGGAAGAGCCTGGAGGTACGTCTTGTACTCGATGAGCTTCTCCGTGCCACGGTGGAGCAGACCGACGTGAGGATCGGCGCGGACAATCTCCTCGCCATTGATCTCAAGAATCAGACGCAACACGCCGTGGGCGGCGGGATGCTGGGGGCCGAAGTTGACAGTGTAGTGCCTGACCTTCTTGTCCTCGATGCCGTCTTTCGCCGGGCCATGGTCGGTGCCCTTGTGGTTTACGGCGGCGTAGGGATCGGCAGGGTGGTTGAAGTCAGTGTCGACGGGCACGAGCCTTAGTCCCTGAAACTCCGGCGAGGGCTGGGCGTATTTTCGGAATGCCGTCGTAGACAAAGGGCGGGCGGCGAGGGAGGTCGTCGCGGCTGGTCGGAGGCATAACCGCTTGGCGCTGTGGCCGGCGAGGCGATAGAGGCTTGCCATTGTGGTCGCAGAGTGGAGAGGGTGTTTGTGGAAGGATCGAGGAGATGAGCCCCCTCAATTGAGCCTCTTCGACTATGCCGCTGACGGTGGCGAGCTTGACTGATGATGGGGGGTTGTCGGCGTGGTATTGTGCGATATGGCCGTCATCTACCTGGCGGGAAAGCTAGCAATGTCGAAGAAATCAGCTGCTGCTGATTGGACAGTGGCGCAACGACAAGTTTCTTCCGAGTCTGAGCCGACAGAACCGTGCCAAATGCCGACATTCGCGCACTGCCAGTAAGCACTTTTGGTAGGATCCACTTCAAGATGTGCTTGAACCGAGCACCTCCAAGAGACAGGACTTGCCCTCAATTGGGGTTCGTATTGTTGTCTATCAATTGTGCATATGGCTTACATTTCACTGAATTATGGCTAGCCTCTGGCACCGAATATGGATGATCGCTTATCCACACTGTGTTCTGGACGCCATACAGTATATCTTGTCGTTCAAACGGGCACTGCGCACAGTCAACAGTTCGATGTCCGTGCAGAGCCACCTTCACTCGCCATCTTCCGTTCGATCGTATAAATCAATAACTGAGCTGTGCCGCCAATCATTCGACTGCTGGCCATTTGCGCCTGCTAAAAAGATTAGCCAGATTGCCGACTGACGGGTTGTTTGGTCTAAAAGACCACTCATCACTGCTTGAGCAGGCTGGCAACGGTCGAAATCCTCTCCTGCCTAAGTTCTGAACCATGCCATGGCCATTTGGACCCTCCAGCTCATCTGAAGCACCACTGCCTCAGAAACCCAGGGACAACAAGGCTGAGGGCAGAGAGCCAGCAAAGTCATGGAACAGTTTGCTTCCCAAACCAGACCCTCCGCTCCAGGCCGCTAAGGAATGGGCTCCCGTCTTCTTGACCGCCGTCGGCTCCCTGGCAGCCTTCATGTTCTACCAGTCTTACTTGCGCCGCTTCGCTGGTGCCGCCAGCATCCAAGAGAACTTTTTTCGCAAAAGAAGCCTCCTGGGTAGAGTCACGAGCGTGGGAGATGGTGATGGTTTCCACTTGTATCACACACCAGGAGGGAAACTCGCAGGCTGGGGATGGCTTCGGAAGATCCCAGAAGGACGATCTAACCTGAAGGGAGAAACTGTAGGTGTAGCACGGAGCATGTCGCAAGGGGCCACTGACAATTCGCTAGATTTCCATTCGTCTGGCCGGCATCGACGCGCCCGAGGGACCTCATTTCGGACGCCCTGGTCAGCCCTTCGCTGCGGAGGCACAAGCTCATCTCTCAAAGTACATCCTCCATCGCCGCGTACGGGCTCATCTCCATAAGCGAGACCAGTACAATCGCATCGTGGCAACGGTATCGACAAGACAGCCTTTCTTCAAGAAGGATGTTGGCCTCGAAATGTTGAAGCAAGGTCTTGCTACCACGTATGAAGCCAAGAGCGGCGTGGAGTGGGGTGGCAAGGAGAGCATCTACAAGGCGGCCGAAGCGAAGGCGAAAGCTAAGAAGCTTGGGCTGTGGTCGATGAAGGCATCGGAGTTCGAAAGTCCTCGCGATTTCAAGAATAGGACGCAGGGAAACGAGAAGGACAAAGGGGATATAGAGGAGTCTGCTGCTCAGAAGCCGTGGTGGCGACGCTGGCTGACTGGGTGAGCACATACCCCTAAGGTACCTTACGATAGGTTGACTCTGGAGACTGCATTTGACACGCGAAGCACTAAAAGATACCCCGCCGATCTGAGTTTCAAAGAAACAATACGACAAAAACTTCTGTTACCGATAGAAATGTTTTGCATGATGATTAATGACGACCAGGACCAAAGTCTCGTCGACGGTCTCTTCTCTACCGGCCAGGGACTGATATGTTGGTTAAGTTGATATGAATGTATCAGGTATGCTTGGTCTGTGTGCTGAGAAGAGTGACCCACCTTTTATGCGTGTGGCGCCTGAGAAACTCACTTGATTGGTTCACGAGACTCAGTGTGCCCCTGTGTGTCGCATCGAGGCTTGAGCGCTCCTGACCTTCTCATCCTCTCAACTCAAACACGCTGCTCTCAACATGACACCTTCATCATCTGGAGATTTCCTATCGCGACCGGAACCCTGACTGCTCGACGGCGCCAATACTCCGAGCCCCATCTGGGTGCTTCCACACGGCGTGCCCTAGATTGGGCTACCACCTATCATCATGGCGACTCTTCAACCACGTGGGTCCTGGTTGCCGGACATCAAGCGGAAAGCCTTTGAGGATGCGAAGAAGATGCAAGCAACTGTAGACAAGCAGTCTGCCGAAAATGGCAAAGATCCACCTCCCTATCTGTTGAAAGAGCTCATCGGCAAAGGCAGCTTCGGGCGCGTTTATACGGCAACTGATCTGACGACGAAGATGCTTGTCGCTGTCAAGATCATCGATATTGAAGAGAGCGACACCCAGAACCCCAAGCTTGCCGACACATTTCGGGAGGTCATGGCGGAGATCAACGCTCTCAAGCTCCTCAGTGACAGTGGCGCTAAAAACATCAACGTCGTCATTGATGCGCTCGCCGTCGGCCAATCCATGTGGATGATTACTGAGTATTGCGCCGGCGGTAGCGTGGCAACACTTATGAGACCAACTGCACCGGGTGGTCTGCAGGAGAAATGGATTATCCCTATTTTACGGGAGGTTTCGGAAGCAGTTTTTTGGGTTCACCGACAAGGCATCATTCATCGCGACATCAAATGCGCCAACGTCCTGATTACCGAGACTGGGGGTGTGCAATTGTGCGATTTTGGCGTCGCAGGTATCATTGAGACCAAGTTCGATAAGCGTTCTACCTTTATTGGCACGCCGCACTGGATGGCACCCGAGCTCTTTGACCAGAATACTTCCTATGGTACCGAGGTTGATATCTGGGCCTTTGGATCGTTGGTTTACGAGGTAGCCTCGGGCCTGCCGCCCAATGTCATGGCTGGCTTTGATATGTACCAGCTCGGAAACCACCTCAAGTCGCACGCGCCTCGGCTACAAGGCGACCAATACTCGAGCCAATTGAGGGACATGGTGGCATTCTGTCTCCAAGAGGATCCCAAGAAGCGTCCAACCATTGAACAAGTGCAAGATCACCCATACATTCGCAACTCGGCACAGCAATATCCCGGCTCGAGCCTCGCCATGCTCGTTAAAGGCTACAAGCTTTGGGAGTCTCAAGGCGGTATTCGTAGGTCGCTTTTTGCCCCAGGAGGCGCGCAAGGTCCTTCAGATATGGACATGTCGGAACTATCATCGACTGCCCTTGCCAATGACGAGTGGAACTTCAGCACCACTTTGGCATTCGACCAAGAAGTTTTTCAAGATCCTGACACGCAAGCCGTCTTCGATGTCTACGGATCTGGCGTTGATTTTGACCCCGGTCATATGATGCAACCTCAAGCATCCAAACCAAGGTCACGAAGAAGGCCACCCCCTCGACAATTAGCTGCCATGAAAGTCCCTCTGGAAAAGGTTTTTGACCCGAACACCATCACGAATTATCAAGAAAATTCTCGCGCCTACTACGGGCTACCTGAACCCCCCCCAACGTCTGATTTGCCCCTCAGAGACGATTCGGCCCAAGCAACAGCAGTACGAGAGTCGCTCATTGACCTTGATGCATCACTAAACGGGACCGAACTATCAAATTATGTCGATATGAACACAATCAGGGCTGGCGAACCGCGAATATCAGTTGAGCTCCATGGAGAACCCAGTCACGATTACAGCAACCCACCGCTCAGTGACCCGGCAGACGTGAACCCTAACCGGAGAACGCGGGACTGGAAATTCCCTTCCATGGCCGCCCCAGCTTCAGCAAATCCTGAGATGTCGCGATTTCCCTTCAACGATGAACGAACAACACCCGGCTCATCGAACCGGCCGCAGCTCCTCCACCAGGCCACCGAACCACTCACCGTGCCTAACTACAGAGAAGCGGACCTCAGTGTGCCGAGGCCGAGTACTCAAGCCAGCATGCGAGAATCAGTCAGCAGTCTGATTGATCTTGATATGGGCACTGTTGCTCTGCCACCTAGTCAGGGCAACAGTCGCGAGTCGATCAACAGTCTCATCGATCTCGATATGAGCGAGATTGATCCTCAACTCGGCATACAGGCCAGTCGTGAATCGGTCAGCAGCCTCATCGACCTCGATATGAGCATGCCAGAACTCACGCGCCCTTCAACGGCCAATTCTGACGTCGCCTCGGTTACTGGCTCGGAGATGAGCCTGGCAAACCCATTTGACTTGGAGCGTCACGCCTCTCTCTATGTCCCTTCCTCTAACCGAGAACCCTCGATCTACGTGTCTGATGACTCCAACTTCATGTCCGCTATTCCTAAAGGAAACGAGGAGTTTTCCAACGGTCTCGCAGGCCTCGCCATCACAGATGGTCCGCGTCCCGACTCGTCAATGTCTCACCGCATGCGTCCGAGTAACGGCAGCAGCATCAGCAGTCTTGGCGCCAGCAGCACGACTTCTGGCCTGCGGCTCGACACGACCGGTTTTGCGGGCCCCTCATATCCGGACAACAGTGGCGAGTTCCTTACCCCGCAGACCATGCGGTCTGTCCACACAGGGCCCTCCCCGGCGGCACAAGAAGGCAACAAGCAAGACGAATCGCCCATGCCGCCGGCGCCGGCGCCGCCGTCAGTCCGGGCCATGCAAGGCCAGGCAGACGCCGAGGAAGTGAAAGAAGAGCTGAGGCGCATGACGATGAGTTTGGGCGAGCATCTGGCGTTTATGAACCAGTATCTCTCCGCCATGCCTGTTCGAAATCCGGGATTCGATGGCGGTGAAGGAGCGAGACGGTGAGAAAGGAGCTAGGAAAAAGTCTCTCTTTCTCGTGTATCATCTGCATGGACATGTCGCCGGCGCTTCCAGGGGTAACCGCCATGCCATCACAAACACTGTCTTACTACTGTGCTGCAGAAGGCCTGCTGAGCATAAGAGGAATGAGTACCAATACAGGCGAGGCGTTAGCGAAGTTCTATTAGAATGACATTATTGTTTTCGGTCTCTGAATTCGTCCTATGTAAACCCGATCATGTCTCCCATCAACAGCGCGCGGTGGCGCTCCATAGCTTCTTGCAGCGTGATGAGCACGCCGGCCGACAGCATCTTGACTTGGTTCTCCTGACCGCCGTCGTCGCCGCGGGTGCCATTGAAGACGCCGGACACCCACTCCTGCGTCTCAACGATCTCGCGGGGCATGTCGGCGCAGAGCTTGCGAAGGCCATCAGAGGACCCGGCGGCATTGACTTCGAACATGGCAGCGAGGGCAATGAGCAGGGCGTGCGTCGTGGGAAGATCGGGAGCTGCCTGTGTGCGCAGACCAAGGATCAGGTTCCAGAGCTCGGCGGTCATCTGCGGGAGAGCAAGGGTCGAGGGACCGGCCGCGTGTATGAGGACGGCAAGGGTCTTGAGGTACAGAGAAAGAAGGTGCGATTGGAAGAGAGGAGCGTTGCGCCGATGGGAGGCTGGCGAGCGAAGGGCGTGCTGAAGGCGAGCCGTCAAGGGGAAGAAGAAGTTGGTAGCAATCAGGGAGGCAATCGTGTTGGGGATGGAGCGGAGTCGCGGCTTTGGCTTGGCGGTCGATTTAGGTTGCCCCTGAGCGTTTAGACGCGAGGTGAACGATGATAGCTTGAGAACGTCTGGACCTGTAGCTGCATCGGCGGCATTGGCTGCCAAAGGAGCGAGGAAAGAAGAGGTGAGATCCTGGGCGATGCTGTCCAGAGCTGTTGCCGGGATCGCTTTCAGATTGGACCCTGAGCCAGCCTCCAGTCGGTTTGCATGGACAGATGCTTCTTCTAGGTACATCCTCTCCATGCGTTCAGGCAGACGCTTTGATGGGAAAGAAGCAGCAGCGGCGAACTCTGAGGTGTCGTGCCCTGATAGTTCTCTGGCACTGAGGCCAAGCACGATCAGAATGGATGCTCGTTGAGAAATGGAGTAGTCGCCATCATAAAGTGTCTTGGCGAACCAGGGAGCCATCACCTTCGGCTGTGCGACTATGAGAGCTATCATGCTTTGTAGACGGAGCTCGTAAAAATTGGCAATGTCAAATTTGTCCTGAATACCTACTAGTTGGGACGCAAGCTCATCGGCGTGAGCGCTGACCTCGGAGCCGAAGTTGGCCTTTCGCCTGATCAATGAAGGGGATGTTTCTAGAGCCAACTTTTGCTTGTCATAATTATTGTCGTCTCGAAGATATGTGATAAGGTCGCGGATGTACACGGGAGCTTTAGGCTTGTCCCTCCGGACAAGGGTAGCATCTTCGTCGGAATCCTCAGCGTCGTCATCTGGCTTATTGTACACCATGAGGTCATCGTCTTCGCTCTCAGAAGAGTCTTCGACCTCTTCGATAATAAATCCAGTGTTCCTAGGAGGTAAAGCCCGCCGGGTAATTGGTTTAGCTGCCGCTGGCTTGAAATCTGATTCCACGGGCTTCAAAGCTGAGGCTGAGACTAGAGGCTCGACTGGACCGACTTCATCGGCCGTTGTCGGCAGTGACTTGTACCACTTTGCTTCCTCGCTGTCCATTTCATCAGTCTTGAAGTCGAGCTTGTTCTGATTCGTGTCTGACAATGAAGACAACGCCTCGCCGATCGCCATGCCGAGTAGTCTAGCCTTAGCCTGAGTCGAGTTTAAGCGGTTCGAGATTGTTTGAAGGTAACTTCCGGATCTCATAATCATCTTCAGCTTCACGGCCGAAGCTCGATGGACGTAGCCCGCGGTTAGGAGCAATACTTGGGCGTGTGCTAAACCAGGTCAGCTCGGCTGGTAGACTGCAGGCCTCTTTTGGACTGGTACCTTCTTGTTGTAGCATAGGCGAGTGCTTGATATAGAGCTGGTCACCGAATTGGCTGAGACTCTTCTCCAGGACCTGACTTGTGCACTCCTTGTCTTTTCCGACGGCGGCCACGACGGCTCGTCGGATGCCGATGGCCTCGCCGAGTCCTGCACCAGTAGAGTTTGTGAGCCACAAGACGAGATGGTTCATTCTGCTTTCGTTATTCGCCACAAGTTTTCCGAGAACACCGGCAGCTGCCGATATTTTCTTTCTCGCCTCAGGGGACTCGGATGAGCCCAATGGATTCAAGTATGTGTCTGCAAGGTACTTGACAACCGCGTAAAGCATGCGTTTTTGCTCAAGCTGCGAGAGGTGGCCAAAAAGACGCACGAAGGCGTTTGTGCTGGCATCCGGACCTAGGAGAAGATCTTGAATAAGATGTTTGTTCAAATGCTCCGAGTATCCTAGCCGGAGTCCGCGAACAAATAACTCAGCACATAGCTTTTCATCATCGGATGATGGGCCGTCTGACATCCAAGCCACAATGCTTCTTCCTAGCCACTTGCTATAGAGCAATCCATCTGACACCCAGGCATTCTTGTAAGCGGAAAGCTCCTTCTGAATGATGGACTGTGCCTCGGCTGCGATGGAGACCAACTTTCCCCCAGCGAAGAAGCTCACCAGCTCATGGGCCATAGCCTTCCTCCGAATGGGATTATCTAGATGCGGCAGACCTGATGACCAAAGCGCCATCAACTGCAGATCTCCGTCGAGAATTTTTGTGACGACTTGAAGCAGAATATCGAGATTCATGGCTATGTCGGGTCTCTTGACTGATTGTCCATCAGCCTTGGATTCCTGTGTCAATGCCTTGGCCCGTGCAACAAGAGCATTGACACCCGTGAGGTTACGGAGACATCTCAACAGAAGGGATAGATTCTCAGCATCTCCATCCCTAAGAATCGGCCAGTAGTTCGGGATAATCTCAGAGACTAGAACTTGGATGACCCGGGCAGATTCGGAGGTCGGATCTGCGGTCTTGTTGTTGCGACTTGCCAGCTTGAGGGCTGAGATCAAGGTGTCATAGTCCGGTTGGCTCATCAGCTTCTCGAGAACTGTGCCATCCGAAGATGAAGTTTTGAGCTTGTTGACCTCATCAGCGGAGCTGGGCGACGGAGAGAGTCCGAACGGAGACCCAGACGGCCTCGGCTTCAGATATGTCTGGCTGACTGGTGTCAAGAAATCGTCCATGGCTTGTTTTAGATAGTGTGTAACAGCGTGGCTCGTGATTTGACTCGTGTTTGAGATACGTGCGCGGATATCATTGCGCAAAGTTATGGTAGAGTCTCGAGATCTCGGAAAGAAGCAGCTCTTGTGGTGTATCTTGTTGTACAAGACGAGCTGTGACTTCGTCAAACGGCAGTGAGGTTGACCATTCTCACAGTGCGTTTGGTGACTTCCTGGGAAGTCAGTCGCCCCACCTCATTCAGCGCGCGTCGCTAATCGATAAGCAATGACCCATTTCACTGCTGCATCGGCTGAGGTTCGCTATGAGCTCACCGAAACCTCCAAGAGCTGCCCCTCCATTGATGCCGCGTCCACCAGCATCGGCCTTTGCCATTCCATCTAGCCCTTCTAAATCACACACAAACACTAAGATCAATATGGCACAAGCTGAAGTGGCTTCAAGGCCAGTTGATGAAACAGCAAGATGGTATGCGCCCGCGGTCTGATCTGCTCAAACAGGAGCTGACAATTCCGTCGCAGGACCTACCTCGACACCATCCGCAAGAACCCCGGGCCCTTCACCGATCCAATTGCTGGTACGCAAGAGGCGATCGACCAGTTCGACAAAATCAAGGTCTTGTGCGTGACGACTTGCGCTCGAGGTCGTCATACTATGCTAACAACTGTACAGGGTTATGTTCGTTACCCGTCATGTCCTTCCCTGTCCATTTGCTAACCCCAAGCAGTGGTGCGGGAGGTTTGGGATGCGAGATTCTCAAGAACCTTGCCATGTCTAAGTTCAAAGACATACACGTGATTGATATGGGTAAGGTGCTCCGTGAGGATGAAGGCCCCGGGACGCCTGGCTGACCTCCGTGCAGACATAATCGACATCTCGAATCTCAACCGACAATTCCTCTTTCGAAAGTCTGATGTTGGCAAGTACAAGGCAGATGTCGCAGCCAAGTTTGTCATGAAAAGAGTCAAGGGCGTCAAAATCACGGCACACAGCTGTCGTATCCAGGACTTCGACAACGACTTCTACAAGCAGTTCCAGTTTGTTATTTGCGGGTTGGACAGCATTGAGGCACGGAGATGGATCAACGCCATGTTGGTGTCCATAGCCGAAGAGGGAGAGGATGCAGACTGCCTGATCCCCATGATTGATGGCGGCACCGAGGGCTTCAAGGGACAGGCGCGTGTCATTGTGCCTACCATCACATCTTGCATCGAGTGCCAGCTCGACATGCACGCGCCGAGAGCAGCTGTGCCGCTCTGCACCATCGCTTCGATTCCCCGTCAGCCAGAGCACTGCATCGAGTGGGCGCACGTTATTGCGTGGGAAAAGGAGAGGCCCTTTCCTCAGCTCGACAAGGACGACCCGGAGCACATCACATGGCTGTACCAGAAGGCACTCGCGCGCGCAAACGAATTCAACATCACAGGTGTGACGTACGCATCAACACAAGGCGTTGTGAAGAACATCATACCCGCCATTGCTTCCACAAATGCCATTATTGCCGCCGCCTGCTGCAACGAGGCATTCAAGCTTGCCAGTTCGGCCGCGCCTCCGCTCGGCATGGAAGAGAACTACATGATGTACTCTGGCAACGACAGCATCTACACATACACTTTTAAGCACGAGAAGAAGGACGACTGTCCCGTGTGCGGCCAGCAGGCGCGGCCACTCAAGGTCAAGCCGACGATGACACTGCAAGAGCTGGTGGATTCGCTGGCGGTGCGGCCTGAGGCGCAGCTCAAGAAGCCATCCCTGCGAGGCGAGGGCAAGACACTGTACATGCAGTTTCCTCAGTCGCTTGAGGAGAAGACGAGGCCGAACCTCGAGAAGACTCTGGAGGAGCTCGAGCTTGTGGATGGGCAGAATGTAGTAGTGACAGATCCCGCGTTCCCTCTGGAGTTCAACTTTTTCCTGCGGTTCAGCAAGAACGCTTGAGGAAGGTCTTGCGCTGAGCATGGAATGGGACACTTACACATACCTTAGATGACATGACGAAATGACTTCCCTCCCAAGACAGGGCCTGGACGATATGACCATGGGACGTTGGTATCATGATTTATTTTGGTCTTCCTGAATTCATTCCATTCCCCATGCCAGAAAGCAAGCAAAACACCGGTTTCTACCTGTAAAAAACAGAGGGTATGTACAATAAGGGTCCCGCCGCGCCACCTGTATCGAAGCCCCGTACATGCATCACCTGACCATGTTGATGACCTGCTGCTCGAGACGCGCACACTTCTTCTTCATCGTCTTGATGGCCTCGAGAAGCAGCTCGTCGCTGTCCCACTGACCAGTGGCGGCCTCAATGGCGAAGATGAAGTGGTCGCGGCGGCGGCCGAGCTTAACCTTGCCCTGGAACTCGGCGTGGCGCAGACACTCGCGCGAGACGGTGTCCTTCATGGCGTCGCGCACGACGGCCTTGCGCTCGCCCTCGTGGCCCTCGTAGCCGGAGCCGGGTGTGCGGGCCTCGTCGGCAGAGACGCGCTCGATGCCGATGACGCCGGCGGGGAAGCAGCGGGCGAACTTTTCGGCGTCGGCACCCAGGATGGGGCGGGTGATGGTGATGGTGGGGAGGAGGCGATAGGAGGCCGTGGCGACGGGCGAGAACTTTGCGTGGTCGGAGCCGATGCCCTTGTGCATGTGCATGTCCATCTCGAGGACCTGGCCGGGACGCAGCTTGGCGAGGAGGATGTCCGGGTTCGTAGGGCGGACAGTGTTGAGGGGCCCGTCAAAGTACTCGAGCTGGCGTCCCGAGGGCACATACTCAATGTCGGAGGCGTGGACGTGGGCGTTGCGGAAGGCCTTGGTCGCGTCGATCTCGCCGGGCGCGGCATCGGGGTTGCGCGTGCACTCGATACGGAGGCGAAGTTGAATCGTGTTGTAGTCGAAGATGTCGCCGGGGGTGCCGTCGGGGTTCTTCTTTCGCCAGCGGAGGAAGTCGCGCAGGCCTGCCTTGTTGGCTGTGAAGGGAACGAGACCCAGACGGTGTGCTAGGACCTCGTCTTGGATGACTGAGGTGTTGTTATAGATGTAAACCGTCTCGATGGCGAAGGTAGGGATTTCGGAGATGAGGATGCGACGGAGCGCATTGGCGATGGAGGCGTCGACACCAATGAGGGAGAAGGATGACTCGGAGGGAGAGAGTTGGTGATAACGCACGCGAAAATTCTCGCGGAACGTGTCGAGCGACCAGCTATTGTCCTCGCCGGGATAGTTGCCGGGGAAGTCGGTGGAGGCTACATCGTAGACGACCTCTTTTTCAATGCTGACTGTCTAAAAGCGCAGGCGCAATCAGTAACAGGTCATTATGCAGATTTCTTGGGGCAACTCACGTTCCGCTTCTCCAGCTCAGCAGCGGTGGGCGTCACGTATGGAGCCATGGTATCTGTGTGGTGGTGCTGGGCGCCGTGGGTGTTGGTGACGATGCTCTCGGGATGCGCTGGGAAATTTTTCGATTGGGACCCCTCAAGACTGGCGTTATCTTATCGGCACAATCGACGCTGGCGTACATTCATCCATTGTGGTTCAGGTACCTTGTCTAGTGGGGCACCAAAGTGCAGTTTCTTACGTCATCCACCAGCCCAGTGACAGAACACTGGGATGCCAACTACCTAATTAACAAGGGGCTCCATCGTCGACTTGCCATCGACCTGGATGGTATGGATTGTAATAGCGTCAGTTCGTGTACCTGAACCATTTTTGTGCTTGAGTTCTGCATAACGCTGCAATCCCATGTTCACGAGACATCGTAGCTGCTTCAGTCTCGTTGCCAGAATATGTTCGGAGGACTTTGGCTGGTTAGCTAGATCCAAAACACGTAGGACTTCGACGCTGGAGTCATGTCGCTTTCTGTTCGATCGACATCAAGCTTCCTGTCACTTCAAACAAAACGGCCAATTCACATGAGATGAGCTCAAAATCTTGTTCGGCATTACCTTGGTGGTTCAATTGTGCTCCAAATTCGAGCCATGGCAAGTAAGTGTGCATGCGAGTGTCACCTAGCATCAACTCCAGCGCCAAAACAAAATCTGATTCCTCACCTGGGGCCTTCATTCTCGAGAACGGTTTCCTCAAATCAAAACGATTGACTGTACCAATATTGTCTCTAGTGGTACTCTCATTCAGTCGCACAACACCTTCGCTCACAAAACAGAGAGACAGACAGACATGACGATGGCACACAACACAAGACTCATTTCCCAAGTCCCGCGACCATCTTGGCATGAATCACCTTCCAGTTGCCCTCACACTGCCCCTTGACGGTCCCCGCGAGAAGCCTTGAGCAATTGATCGTCACGAATTCTTTCATCTCCGGCCCCTCGCCCTCGCCTTCTATGGTCCACACAGTCTCGAGCACGATGCCCATGGGACTCCGAATCCGCACGAAAAGCCCATCAGCGAGGTTCGTGAACTCGTAGGTACTGACAATGTCCGAGTCCCAAAGACCCGCGGGCAACGCGTGGACAATGTCTGTGACCTGATAGCACTTGGTGTCGCCGAGGGGCGTAATGTCCGCAGGCAGCGGGGCAGGACAAGGGCTCGTGATGAGTTCAAACTTGGACATGGCGGGGGAGCACTGTATAACGTGCTCGTGGTCGTGGAGCATGGCAATGGCATCAGTGCGTGTGGCGGGTGACGGGATTGGGGTTATGTGAGTGAGGCTCTGGGAAGTGTTGAGGAAGCCTGGGACAGTATGAGTGAGTGTACATTGGAGAAATGAGGGGCGCGGCGTGACGTACTCGCCATGGTTGCTGAATTACAATGCTGTCTTCAAATGTCGGGGATAATGTGATATGCTCTAATTTGGCCAAAGGGTGATGCTTTTCTCAAAAAGTGATGCTAGATATGAATTAAGGATGTCTTTTGGCCAACGAAAGTAGGCATTGACGTCGACACACAAGGTGTCTCAACCCGAGGGTCCCTGCCGTGACTGACGCGCGGTGTCCCGCGCACGTCGATCAGGGGTTGGGGTGGGTCCTGTTCTGCTGGCCATCTACGCTCCATAGCGATGGATAAGTACATATTGATCTTAAACCCAACCATATCTTCCCAAGCTCGTGTGCCGAAAAGTCAAATTGAAAGTTTCGGGCCTTCGACCATATTCTTCGAGTATTTGTAATGGTCACGAATCAAACAATTGTTCTAGCGTGTCGCGAGGCCCAGTTAGCCGCCGCCTTGGTGTACTGAGCCGGTGTTGTTCGTCAAAATTCAGTATCATCTTGAATATATACTTGGCGCATGGGAAGGAGCCTGGCAATTCGACTGCACTTGAATTGTGTATGTCGCTTCTTCGGACTTCCTATAGTATGCATCGGGGCTGCCCATCTAAACAAATATGTGAGGTCCATCGCACGGTGAGACGAAGAAGATCATCTATCGTGGCGCCAAAGAAAAGATCATGACTTGAGACGAGGATTGTAAATAGATGATAAACAGCAAGTAGTTGATGTAGAAGAAAAGCAAAAAGGATTTCTCCTTATGCCGTGTGCCGGTCTTGAACCCGCCGTCCCTCCACGCGCTTTCTGGCCTGCGCGCCCATCGCAGTTAGGGGGATGCGATTTTTGGGTATTTGTTTAGGGTCACCCCTGGGACCACTGCACCATGCGTCACGGTACTGTGGTCCCTGTTGGGAAAAGGGCAGGTTGCGGGAGGTTATAAGGTGCTGTACACAGGGCAGGGAAGGAGGCAGGAGCTCGTTGCCTGGGGACACAGTGGGTGAGTCAACATCACTTTTGACATGAACCCTGTTGGCTACCAGAGTGGTTCACCATGACTGTATGACACAACAATGGTATGCTCTTCAGTTGACTGTGGAAGCGACCATTAAGGATGTGTTTCACAAGAAGTAGCCGCAAGCACTAGGATAACACTTCGCCGAGGCAAGTAGATACCTGGGCTATACAAGTCCAGTTTCGAAGATCAAAGGCACATCATCTCCCAGCACCGCTAGTTCTGGGCATCGACTTGTGCATACTTCTACATTCTCTGGGTATCTAGCCATCTCTTCGCACATGATGTAGCATCATTCACACTTTCTCAGATATCTTACTGCCCTCGTTCACCTTCGTCCTCCCAAGACCACAGCATCTTCTCGTCCACACTATACGTTCTCTCTTCCGTGATGATCTTCACCACATCCATCAGAACCCTCTGCTCAGGGCGATCTTTGGCACTGTTCGTCATCATGCTCCCACAGCAGCCCTCAACCTCGCACATGAGGGAGTCTCCATCATGCTCACCGTTCCCAGCGGGGCACGTCCACACAACCTCGCGGCCCGCAACTGCCGCCCTGACGGTGAGAGTCTGGTGGCCCTGGAGGATATGCTGCCTGTGAAAGGGCTGGCGGCCGAGCGCCTCAGCCTTGCGGAGGCGGACGTCGACAGTTACGACAGAGAGGTAAGCCTTGCGCGCTAGCCACGACTCGAGATCCCTGACGCGGAAATAACGAGCTGCGGCGTGCAGAGATGCATAGCGTGGAAGATTGTGGCCTGCTGAGGCAGACCAGAAGAGCGGGTATAGGGCTGTGCGGAAGTAGGCGAGTAGGTCGGCGAATGTAGCAGGGTCGGTATCGAGGAATAGGGGATTTGTACGCGAAGCGACATGCTGCGAGATGAGGTTGCGGAGGAGAGGTGACTTTCGGAGCGTTGTGCGAGTCGTCTGGAAGAGACGTTCGCCAACTTGAATGGCAACATATTCAGAGAATGGGGACAGGGGCGCTTGTGAACCGTTTCTCGAAGGCGTAATCTGGACTGGAGACCTCTTGGTAGTCTTGCTCCTGTCGGGGACCCTGTCAGTACTATCATCTGGCTGGCTATCTCTTTGGCTTTTCGGGGTGTGTCCTGCAGCAACGAGCTGTTCTTGTCGTCGTTTCTCCTCTCCTGCGATGGCCGCGATGACGATGTGGTTATCACTTCGAGGATCCCAGGCCCCGCTGCTCATCGAGCTAGAATTACTTGCACTCAGCACAATGACGCTCTCCCGTAACTCCTGACTGAGCCATTCGCGAGCCTCTGAGACCTTTTCAAGCGGCGATAGGCTGTTCGTGAGCTGGACGCGACGCTGTTGTAAAACTTTTCCGGCCGTGACTTCATTCGAGTTGCCCTCGCTAAGAAGCTTGGTGATGAGGTCGTCAGCTTTGCGTTCATCTAATCGGACTTCCTCTTCAGAGCGACGCTGGGACTGCCAGTCAGTAGGTAGATTGATGAGACGGGTGAAGCCGAGTGAGAAATGCCCAGACATACCGCAGGCTCAAGATAGACGTCCTGGCCATTCTTCGTTGGAATAAGACGGAGGGAATAGCGGCCGTCGCCGACACGCTCGATACCAAGCTCAATACCAGATTCCATGGTAATTTTGGCGATCAAGGAATTCGTCAAGGAAGAGACGAAAGTGTTGAGTGTACGTCGAGGGGGGCAGCCACGACATCGGAGGGGTAGGTATGAGTACCTAGGATCGAACAGGAAGGCGTGACGCGTCCAGAATTTCAGAAGCAAGGAAGGAGCCAAATACTCAGGACCAGAAAATACAGTAACAACATCTGAATATACAATTCACTCAGCGGCCTCGCGTACATCACATCAAGCTACTCCGCCCCCCAATCTCCATGCTAGGCTGTCCATCCTTCATCTCTCCGCTTCGGCCCACGACGAACTCGTGGTAGATTCTCTTCAGCCTGTTGCGCTCCTGCGCGCTGATCGACGCCTTGGTTTCCACGAGCGCCTTGACAAGGTGCTTCCACCCAACAACGACTTCCTTGTCCTCCACCGCCGCCTTGACCGCTTCCGGCTGCTGCGCACGCCTCGCCCTTTTGCGCGCTTGCTTTATACCTTCAAGCTTGGCCATGATAGCCGCCCTCTCGTGGAACTTGTTGGGCTGGATCAAGGAGGTAGATGACGGCTCCTCGGGCTCGCAGTAGGGGAAATGCACGAAACTCGGAACAGATTCAGCCTTATGGACGCCGTTTGTTTTGCCGTTCGCCACAGGCTCGTTATGGCTGTCATCTTGGAGCACATCGTGAATGGCCTCGAGTTGCGCGTTGGAGATGAGGCCTTGAAGGTCGGCACCCGAAAAGGCCTCGCAGCGACGAGCAATTTCCGTCCAAGCCTCATCAGACTCTGACATTTCGGGGTCCAACTTGACCTGCTGAGAAAGAGCCTTGAGGATGTCAACGCGGTCTTCGAGGGTCGGGAGGTCGCACAGGAGGGACTTGTCGAGACGACCAGGACGAAGCAAGGCCGGGTCGATGAGATCTGGCCTCGAGGTAGCGGCGAGGACGTACACGCCCGAGAGACCTTCAGCGCCGTCCATAAGAGTAAGGAGCTGGTTGACTACCCTGTCTGTCACGCCTGTGGAGTCGTGGCCACGCTTGGGTGCGATGGAATCGAACTCGTCGAAGAAGAGAACCGACGGCTTGGCTGCTGATGCTCGCTCGAACAAATCTCGAACACTCTTCTCGGATGCACCGATGTATTTATTGAGAATCTCAGGACCCTTGACGCTGATGAAGTTCAAGCCGCATTCGCCTGCTACCGCACTCGCAAGCAGTGTCTTACCGCAGCCGGGGTAGCCGTAGAGAAGTAGACCTGAACGGAGACGAAGTGGGCACTTCTCGAAGACCGGCGCGTACTTGGTGGGGTATAACAAAGTCTCCAGAAGCACTTGTCGTGTCTCTTGAAGACCGCCAATTGAGCTAAAGGTGGTTGTCGAGCTCTGCAGCGAGACGTCGCGAAGCGATGTGGGCGTGAAATCTTTCAGAGCATTGTCAAAGTCTAGCCGGGTGAGGCGAATTGGCCCCGGCTTGGCGTTCGGCTTGGAGGAGCTGTCTACCGACCGTATCACGGCCTCGTTCTGTGCTCTTTCAATGACAACGCTAAGATCCTTGGGCATGTACCCATCAGTCAAACCAGCAATGTCCAGGAAATCGAGATCAGAGTCCAGTATGAAGCGTCCAGGCTGTCTCGTGGTATTCTCGCGACTGCCTTGGCTGGCGCCGTCCATCCAGTTGCTGTCTTCGGCTGCAGCGCTGCCATCGGCTGTCGTAGGCCGGCTTCCATCGTGCGAGGGCGCCGCATCATTATCGGGCGAAGTGGCTTCTTGCTTGACAATGGCCTCGAGAACCTGGCGTCTCGCGTCCTTATTTGGCGCCTTGAGCTCCAGAACCTCTCGAAAGACATTTGCTCCGACAATGATCTCGTTGAGCGCCTCTTTTCCCTCTGCTGTTGCTAGGAGCACTACTCCGCTCTCGACACTGCAATACTGCCTGGCCATGGAGCTAATGATCTCGCTGACCTGACGGCTGCGACCGTTGTCCGTCGTCTGGAGTTCCGTCTCTGCGGGGCACGATGTATCGAGGTCGTCGAGGATAATCACAGCCTTGCCGCCGAACTTGGCACCCCAGCTGGCCGTCAGGAACAGCTGATTCAGAGTTGATCTGATGGAAGCCATTCGGCTTTCGTCGTTGACAAGCTTTTTGCAGGAGAAGTAGGTTGTGTGGAAAAAGGAGTCTTCGCGCAGCCTCTGCGCCACGTATTTCGCGACGGAAGTCTTGCCGGAACCCGAGGCACCGGTCAAAAGACTCGTCGATAGGTTCGACAGGTGGGACTGTAGGTCCAGCAGCAGCTTGTCGATGCTAACAAGGAGACCATCGTATGAGGGCAGGGGCTCCGCGATGCTGTCTTCGGTCATCCATGCGGGGCGTGGAATAGGGGCCTGAAACTCGATGGGAGTCTTTTCGCTGATGCCGAGGGTCCACCTGCCCGGTTCCTTCGAGTCTGGCGAGCTCGGTGCGGGCTCGAACTTGATGACACCACCCTCCCAGCCCTGGGGGCTTTCCAGGCCGTCATACAACCCGAACAGCGTGCCGTCAGTGAGAGGACCCGCAAGTAGAGACGAGGCCTTCTGAGAGCCCGCATAGATGTGCCTGAACGTCTTTGCAGCTTCTTCCCTCTCGGCCTTTGATTCCGAACCAAACTTGAGGCCCTCGCTCGTCTTTTTGGATGTGGCAAAGGGATAGACAGCGAGCTTCTGCACCGCGTCCCGCCCCACAGGCTGCGAGGCTGCCTCTATCTCAATAATACCACCCACCATGCCGGTGAAGCCCAAGGCCGCGCACAGAGGCGATGACAGAGCAGCAGGCTTGCTATCCGGCGGATCATCCCACGTACGCAGGTGGGCGACCACTTTTGTCGCGACATGCGAAGTCACCGGCGCCGGGTCGTCCGCCTGGGGCCGAGGCGTGTTCGCCACGCTCCCAGACTCGCGCAGCACGGTCACCAGCACATAGTTGACGCCATTGAAGCCCCGAGCATGCAGTAGATCGTGATCGACCCAGATGCTGAAGTCAGGCGCCACGACCTCCTCTTCGAACCAGTCGAGGCACATATTCCTGTCGACACCCCTAAGAGTGATCTTGTTCTTGCGCTCGCGCGTGCTCTTCTTACGGCCGGAGCTGGTGCCGCTGCGGCGCGACTTGGATGTGCTGGCAACGCTGCGGTTCTCGGACGAGGACTGGGTCGTTTTCGGGCGGGTCTTGGGAGCAACGATGACTTCGGCGTCAGGAGAAATCTTGGCGAATGGGTAGTCTGCTGGCGGAGGAGGGTCGAGGGAGATTGTCTTTATTCGCGCGGTGGAGGTCGGAGAAAGGTGCAGAGTCAAGGCGTGGGCTGGCACGGGCTGGCCTGAAGCGGATTTGAAAGCTGGATTTGGCAGCGCGCGGACCTGGGAGAGGAGATTGAGCTCCAGAAATGTGGCATGAAGCTCAATAATCTCCCAGTCTTCGGGAGTCAGAGGCTCGAGGTTGATGGTGTGGACCAGCGGGGGGTCGACGTGGATCGAGGCTGTGATCTTTTGGCCGTCGGCCAGGCCTAGGGTATTGGCGAGGGTCGCGTCAATCTCGACAAGACCAATGTCCTGGTCGCGAGAGGAGGGGTTTCCCCTTATGCCATTGATGCCGTCGCGTCCGACAACAGGTGTGACCTTGCGCTTGCTGGGCATGCCTGTCCAGCCGACGAAGATGGACTGCGGCGCGGCGGAAGGGGCACCGCCCGTCGGGGGGTTTCGGTAGGAGAGCTCGACGACTACATTTTGAGCAGGCTTTGAGGTGTCAGCGCAATGTCTTGCTGTTGCTCTTGAGGTAACATACAGTGTTGATATTGACCAAGAGGGAGACCAGCGAGGAGGGGAGGTTGACAAGACAGTTGCGCAGGTGAACGAGCGACAGCTCGGCCGGTGTAGATTGGGCGTTCTTGCGGGGTGCCATTGTGAGATATGGCAGGGAGATACAGCGCCCTGTTTTGGAGTGTTAAGAATCGGTGTTTGAAGCAAGAGGCATGCTCAAGCAAACGTCGCGCTCAAGCTCGTGGTGATCGTCAGTCGAGCTTCGAGTCCGACCGAACCTTGTGATGCAGAACACGACCGGTTGCATGTGCCGACCGCCGAGGCATCCTCGGGACTGGCTAGCAACGGTGGGTCCTGAGACTGCCTGCAGCTTGGGGTTCTGCGGGGTACAGCCAGCGACCCTGGTCTTAGTCAGCGAGCTCGGTTACGGCTCCCATCCCCTGGACGGCCACTGAAGGGGTCGTCAGAGCATCTTCATTCAAGATACCCCCTCATCGACACTGCCCACATGGGTACTTTCCTCTTCTCTGCGCGCTTCTCTATGATTCTCTTCTTTCTGAAGGCTTCTACTCCACTCCTCCCGGATTGTCGAGCGTCTTAATGGCATCCTTATAGGGTGATTTGACATACATGTAAGCACTACTCACAGGGCCACATGAGGATGCTCCAATATAAGATGGCTAGGTTTGGTTTTGCATTGAATTCTTTTCTAGGATGGAAGTCCGTATACTAGAGAACTAAGCCCTTACACTTGGGAGGTGTTGCTCATATAGCGTAATTTCTCTATAGGCAATGCGCTGCAATTTGTTACACGCAGGACCGGTCAGTTGCCCGAGGATCATCTTCTCAACAGAAAGGGGAGTCAAAATAAGATGCCCATTATACACCTGCTTCGGACGACGGCTCGGCGGTCAAACAAACGAAGCAATGCAATCGTGTCTACTCGACATACATTCGCCAGCGGAAAGGCTACTCACCACCTAACAAAGATCGTATTTCCCTATCCCAACGCCAGACCCCCGAAAATAAAACTCGTCAACATCACCCCGGGCAAGGCTCAGAAAAAAGACAAGCCCCTGTCCATAGACCTCGCTCCTCAGGCATCCTCACTGCCCTCACGCTCGGCATCGTTGCCAGAGGCGTTGATGAACACGAGTCTCGTCATGTTGCCAGCAGTTTGCCAGACCTGTCGGCCGTGTCAGTACAATTGGGTTACGTGAAGTGGACAAGGCTATACTCACATCGAGGCTGTTGTACTCCTCCAGCGCGGCGAGCCACTGGTCCTCCGTGAAGCCCTTGGCGATGACTCTCTCCTTGACCTTCCTCAGGCTCAGCACGCCGTACTCGTCGTCATCGTCCGCATCGTCGGGCCTGCACGCGCCACTGTCGGCCAGCGCCTTGACCATGTTGTAGATTCTGCTGTTGGGGTTGAGCCTCTGGCGGCCAGTGCCCTGATCGGCGGCGAGCGACTCCTTTGAGGCCTCGAGCAGACGCAGCGCCTCGTCCACGTCGTCCTGCTCGACGAGGTTGCTGAAGCGCAGGCGCGCGAGGGCCTGGGCGATACGGATGATGCCGAGAAGAGTTCGCGGCGTGACGTGGGTGAACTGCTCGCCCTTCTTCTCAGCGCGGCGCTGGGCCTCGCGCATGCGGACATACGTCTTGCTGACGTATTCCATGACGCCCGCCGTGACGACTGGGCGGTAGGTGCGCGCCTGGGCAATGTAGGAGCGCACTTCATGAGGGCTGAAAATGACATCGTCCTCACCGGCGACGGGGGGGTGGCGAGAGTGCATGTGCACGTAGGCGACGTGCTTGGCAAGCTGGGCGTCGGACTCGCGGTTCGGCGTGTCAAGGATCAGGAACATGATATCGAAACGCGAAAGAAGGGCGGCGGGCAGGTTGATGTTCTCGACAGGCGAGAGGCGGGTGTTGTATCGTCCGTAGAGAGGGTTAGCTGCGGCAAGAATGGAGGTGCGGGCGTTGAGAGTGGTGGAGATGCCGGCCTTGGAGATGGAGATGGTCTGTTGTTCCATGACTTCGTGGATAGCCGTGCGGTCGTTGTCGTCCATCTTGTCGAATTCATCGATGCAGCAGATACCATTGTCGGCGAGGACAAGGGCACCGCCCTCTAGGACCATCTCGTCAGTCACTGGGTCACGGATGACGGCGGCTGTGAGACCGACGCCACTGCTGCCACGTCCAGAAGTGTACACGCCGCGCGGCGCGACCTTGGAGATGTACTTGAGCAGTTGGGACTTGGCCACACCAGGGTCACCCATAAGGCACACGTTGATGTCACCACGAATCTTCATGCCGTCCTTGACCTCCTTCGTCACACCACCAATGAGGAGCAGCAAGAGAGCCTTCTTGACGTCGACGTGACCGTAGATCTCGGGAGCGATGGACTTGGCAAGCAGCTCGTACACCTGTCCAGATTGCCTGTACTGCTCAATCCTCCGCACAAGGGCGGGATCAATGATCATCTCGGAGTAGGCCTTCTTGTGCTGCAGAATGTAGTGAGCCTCGAGGTATGTGTCGGTGAGGAGGCCAGCCTTCATAGCCTTGAAGCCAGTGTAGGGAGTGGGCATGAAGATGCCGGATATGTCGACAACGTCGCCAGGGTTCACCTTGCGTACGGAGGAGCCGTAGCAGAGAACAGTGAGTGTTCGAGGGATCTGGCCAATGGGAACCTGTTCAGCCATTTCCTGAACCTTGACCTCCTGGAAGGGGAGGAACTTGGACGCTCTCGATGATGGTTGCAATTGGCTGCGCGACTGGTTCTTCTTGCACGTCTCCGAGGGACACATGGTCAAGGGAGTGTGCTGCTTATCGGTAACAGGCTGGAAGATTTCACTGCCACAGCCCTCACAGTAGTAGGCGCTGACAGAGACGACAGGCTTGACGTCGGAAACTCGGGTTGCGATGGCGCGGACCGTGATGAGGTGGCCCAGGTGCTCGCCACGGACGTCACGGACAGCCATGGCCTTGGACTCGTGATCGGCAGTCTGGGTACGGGGCTTGAAAGCCAAGGTGTAGCGGCGCGTCAGTTCTGCGGGGAAGCGCTCGGCAGCGGCAGGAAGATCGCCGTTCGCGACAGCCACATCCATGGCCTGGTTGTGTTCTTCTCGCCGCCTCATGACAACATCGAGAACATCTTCCTTGAAGCTTTTCACATGTCAGTAATGTATCATTAGAGCAGCCGAGCCGCGAGGGGTCAGACGTACGACTCCTTGTTCGTTGGCGCCGGCATCTGAGAGTCAATGGCTCTCGAGAAAATCTCGACGTAGTGCTTGGTATTCAGCTCGACCGACTCGACCAGCTTGAGGCGCTCGCCTGTGTCGGCTTCCAATGTCTTCTCCCACTAGATTCTGTGTGAGTTCGTCGCTCGATGCACAGCGCATTGGGAAATACTGACTCCGTGAAGGTCGTCCAGGTCTAGCATGACTTCGTTGATCTTGCGATCTGCCAGCTCTTGCAGGATAATCTGATACTTTGGCTGGGGAGTGCGCGCCTCTTTCTGACGGCGACGCCTCTCCTCCGCAACCTCGTCGTCTTCCATGACATCGTCATCTTCGTCAAAGTCATCCTCATTTATTGTTACGTTGCCGAGGGCATGTGTGATCGTCTGCTCGGGAGTGGCTTTGAAGTCCTTGAGGAACGACTCGAAGGCGGCTGCAGGGTTTGTAGTCAGTACTTGTCGCCATGTCAATGCTGAATCGCGGGGAAGTGTACCGAGCTGTGCCTCGTACTGGACTGGCGCCTTGAATTGACGGAGCGCCATCGTGAGTTGTAGATGTGCGGATACTGTCAGCAGAGCTTGTGATCCGTCAGAGAAAGTAAATGGGGCCGCTCGATACGATGCGAAATGCAACAAGGAGAAATGCGCGTCGCAACAAGCTCTGTGGGTGGGGGGGCTGAGATGCGGGATGGAGGACGGGATGGATTGGATGGACGTCGCTGGTTGTTGGTTGCCAGGGGGTTGCCCAGTCTCACAAATTGGAATGCTGGTAACGCGAGAAGACGCGTTTTCTCGCGTCGCGTGTCCACAGGTTTAATGGAATTATGACTAAGCCCGAAGATAGGTCATGAATATGGCGACTACCATCCTCTCGTTTGTATGGAAGTCTTAGGTATTCCAGCTGCCATACCCACTGGGCCTGGGTCAAATTGCCTTCGACCGGTTCCAACCCCGATTGCAATTACAAGGCGTATTCACAATTTCCATCGTAGTTGTTTCCCTTGTCTAGCTTCCAGCATTGCGCCCCGCGTTATATGTCATCTTTCACCAGGGAAAGATGATCACACAAGCACGCAGGATGACAAGGGCGGCGAATGCGCGAGGAAACACTCATAAATCTGGCATGAACAGTCATTCTCATGTCTAGCGGGGCATGGATCGCGTAATCTCAGCTTTTAGAAGTTCTTGTATCAGACACACATGTACCTGTAACAGTGGAAGCCCCATCACGCTGATGGCTTAAGGTATCAGAAGGTTATGCGCAAATAACGTGATATGGCCGAAGGCTCTGCTCACACACCTTCAAGGACCTGAGGGGGAGCACTGCATGGAGATATTGAAACAAAGACCCAAGACCTCGTCTAGACGAGTAAGGCTAAGTAAAATGTGTTTTTTTTTCCCGACTGAAAGTAGTCGTTTGTGAGCACGGCTATTGGCCTTCAATCTTGTCTGTCCAACTAGGTATTTCAAGGAGCGAAGCCTGTCCACTACAAGGTATGCTGCAAGAGAAGAGTGTCGAGACAAAATGCAGAATGCCTTGCACACGGAGGCACAATTATTCTTCAGTCATCCCGAGAGGAGCAGGCGTTCAGCAGTTCGCGGGCATTGCAACTCTCCAGTATCATGATGCCTCAAGTACAACCGCCCTCTAGCGCATAGCCTGGTGCCCCAACACAATCAAGACCCTTGGCTCAAAACTGTTGTTTGATGAATTGGAAGTTGTGCTGCAAGGCCGAAAGGATGCACTTTCGAGAAGCTCCGGTCCATAAGTGTGCGCCGACCGGTTTCCCCAGATCTGTGCACCATCTATGAGTCTCCCTAGAAAAGGTACTGTTTCTTCCTCGTTTGCAAACCCCATTCATGAATTCCTAACAACTTCGCTTGCGTCTTTCAGATGATCCAAGTCGAAAGCTGATTGTGGCCATATAGTGCAGCATGGAGGAGGTAAAGCGGATTAAGAATTGTGTATCGCTCGTGGTGGAGCCGAGGAGCATCGTCTACTGTGGGCAAGTCTTGAGGTGTTTTTTTCAGCTGTCTCTGCTACTGGTAGCACACTGGAGCTAACTTGGCATAGCCGAACTGGTTGTCTTCATCTTTTGTTTTTGTTTCGACTTCTGGGTCGTTACGAGGGGGACTTGAGGCCCTTCCAGACGGTCCGGTGAATGACGGTGACAGTGATGAAAATTGTCCCTTAGAGATGACTCCAGAAACCTAACGACATGTAGCGCGATACTGATATCAGATCAACACCATAAGCTCAGCACGAAAAGCATCTGCAACCGACACGGAACAAGAATCAAGTCACTCACATGCCGCAGAGCTTTTCTGAGGGTAAAGTGGTAAACTCCATCGCCAGAGCAGCACATCAGAGAGCAGCACATCAACGACACATCACTTGGAAGCAGGAAGGCGAGCGAGATGAAACAGAAACCATCCATATGATACAGTATACATGCCAGAGACCATGGTACATCTAACTCTACAGAGTGACAAGGCGCTCTAAATGCGCGAGTGCAGCAGCGCGGCGCGCTCAATCTCTCCGATGACGCCCTGGCCGCCGAGCGTCCACTTCTCCGTGACGGTCGTCTCATTGACGAGGGACCGCAGCATGCCGCTGGCGGCCCAATACTCCATGACGGCACGGGCCTCGGCCTTGGAGACATTGTCGACGTGGAAGACGTCGACCTTTTCGAGGACCTCGTGCACGCGGGGATCGTAGTCCTTGCGGTAGGGGTCTGCCGTGGGCACGTGTTTGCCGGCGGCGGCTGCGAACGAGCGGGCGAGGGCGAGGTCCATGCTCGGCGAACGAGGAGCGTTGCTGCGACTCGTGGCGCCAATGACGGCGCCGCCGTTGGCGAAGGGAGTCTTGCCCGAGAGAGCGTCGGTGAAGAGGCGGACGAGGGTCAGATCGTGAGAGTGGACGAGGTTGAAGGACGGGTCGCGGTATTCGCTAACCTTCATGACGTGGGAGAGGCCGTCGAGGCCGAGAAGGACGGGCGGGCGGCCAGGGACGGCAGTAAGCTCGTACCAGAGGGCCTTGAGGACGGGCCAGGCGTAATCAGGCTCCTTCGCAGCAGTGATGAGGTCGGCGAGCGTGGGGTCCTCAGGGAGATGGAGGAGCTGCAGGTGGCTGTAGTTCTTCGAGGCCGTGTACTGGGCGAGGATGTCGTGGTTTGCCTTAATGATCGTCTGTAGGAGGTGGAAGCAGTAGACGGGTTGAGTGAACTCGACGGGGGTTGTCTGGGGCACGGGCGAGTACTCAGTGTGCGCATTGGTGAGGTCTTGGGCTGCTGAGCTGTCAGTAGATATCCCAAACGGAGAGAGAACGGGGGGGGAGGGGGGTTTAGAGTACTCGCCTTCGGGGATGTGGATGACGACCCAGTTGTTGAGAAGGGCGTGGGACATGGCTTGCATCAACAGCAAGCTCTTGCCCGAGACACGCTCACCCGTCAAGACGGCGCGCAGCGTCTGCTTTTCCGCCGCCGCCTCGTTCAACCTCTCCATCATCTGCATCGTCTCCTTCCTGACGAGCATGTGCGGCTTGCGGAACAGGCCCCAGTTCTGCGTAGTCTTGAACGATTCGAGGGCGCGCAGCTGGTCGATGAGCTTGTCGGGCATGCTGATGATGCGACCGAGGTTTTCCTTGCTGACCATGGCGGCGGCATCGGCGACGGGCAAGCCTGTGACGACTGCGGCGTTGTTGTTGCTGAGCTGGATGCGCTTACGGAAAGCCTTGCGCTCGCCCGGCTCGGGCTTCTTGAAGCGGACAATCTCGCGCTTCTTCTTGGCATTCTGGCCAATCTTGCCCTTACGAATGTGTTTTCCGATCACCTGGCGAGGCTTATTGCCGACAGCCTTGGAAGGACCGGCGGCCACGGCTGTCGTAGTCGTGAAGGGGGCGGTCCATGTGATGATGGGCGTGATGCGGTCGGCCAGGCGCAGGCCGGAGGTCGGCCGCGTCAGGCATCGTGTGCAGTTGACAGACGCCATTGTGGCCGGGTATCGAGATCGTAGAGGATGTCGATTGGGGGTTGCTACAAGTCCATTCGGGGTCGGGCCGGTGGCTCGTCGAAGTTCGGACGCCAGAATTTGGAACCACAGCTTGGACGTTGACGAGGAAATCTCGAGACGATAGGTGCACCCCCGGATCGCATGGTGGAGCGCCGCAATACTGACCTGCCATTGGCTGTGGCAGCTCAGTCGGTAATTCGGCGCTAGCTGATCCGTCTCGTTATCTTATCGTTACTTTCGACCCTCCAAAATTTCAGTCCCAGAAAAGTTCACGACCATTTGCCCGCCCGCCGCCCGCCACTGCCCGTCTGAACCAACCACCGGCGTACCCGTCAAGAGCTCTCTTCCCGAACGTCGTCGATAACCTCCTTCACAATGGCGACCGCCGACTCGAAAGCAAAGCTTTCCGTGACCGTCGACCGTGCGACACCGTACTACTTCGACCTCGGCCTCCTCCAGGCCACGGACCCCAACCCCTTCAAGATCACCTCGTCCAACATTGAGGAAGACCTTGCCAGCATTGCCCGCGATGGCGCCCAGGGTGCGACGGCCCTCCTACCAACAGATAACCCGTAGTGTCCACAAGACTAACATGAACCCAGTCATCATCAACCAGCTCATGACCGCCTGCCCCATCACGGCCACCCCCGAAGGCGTCCTCCTGACCCTGCCCCCGCCCTCGACCCCTCTGCCCCGCGAGCTGCCCGTTCCCAAGGCCAAGGAGCCGACAAAGTGGGAGCGCTTCGCCGCCAAGCGCGGCATCAAGCCCAAGACGCGCGAGCAGCGCCGCAACCTCGCCTTCGACGAGGACACGGGCGAGTGGGCGCGCAAGTGGGGATACAAGGGCCTCAACAAGAAGGGCGAGAACGACTGGCTCGTCGAGGTCGACCCGGCCGCCGAGGCCCAGCGCAAGGCCGGCACCGAGATCCGCGGCGACGGCCGGCGCGAGAGGAAGGAGAAGGTCAGGAGGAACGAGCGGAAGCAGAGGAAGAACGCGCGCGAGTCGATGCAGGCGGGGAAGAAATAGGTCGTGGTCGCTGCTCGGCAGAGAGAAAGGGCCGTTGCCGTTCTCGAAAGGGCGCTTGCCTGATAGGAGGGTGCCAGCGAATGGGCGCATGTAGGCGGCGGCATGGGATGGATGGCATTGCGGTGTTTCGGCGTTGGGACGGGAAGAATGTACCCCGGTTTTTCATCCTTCAAAGGCTTGCTCTGATACCAGCAAAAATCATCTTGTCCATCTACATCTCAGTCCGTGTCAGCGTGCCGAGGCATCTTTTGCAGCCAATGTGATCAAGTAGATCATGTCACTGGTAGCCAACAAGTCAACGAAAGACGACAATCGGCTCATCTCGATTCATCCACCACCAGGAGGGAGGCTCGGATAGTTGCCCCCATGCCGCCATTATCCCGTCCACCAGCTTCCGAAGCAACTCCTCATGCTGTATTATACATAAATCCATCAGCAGACCGCCCAACCTCATGTTGCATGCGCTCGCTCTTTTCGTGCCACCCAATATCACGCATTGTATAGCATTCTCCAAATGCACACCGCTCCTCTGTTATCCGCGCGCCTTTGCCAAACATGAAGAAACATCGCTAAACTCTCGTGACAAAACGCAGTTCTAAGAAACACGCACGACCAAGAGACCAGAAGGGAGGATACAGAAATCACAAAGCCAGCACTGCGTGAGAACACATAGTCAAGCGCCTCGTCGAGGAGTTCGGATAGGCCAAGACAATGGTGGACGACGCTACAGCCAAATCTTGGGCAGAAGATACACCTCTGATGCGGGTGAGCTAAGCACGTATTGCCTGAATCGTCGTAGCCATCAGGAATAAAGAGGCCAGGCGTCGTGTCGTCGTTGGGTTCGTGCTGAGCCATGTACGTGCAATGCCGCCCGGGTATTGTAGTAGAAAATCGGACAAGAAAACAGACGGGTATCCAGGGGATGGAGGGACTCAGAAACCGAGGGGTGAAAGTGGCTTGATGGGCGACAGTGGCCGAAGATCTCCTGAGCCCCTTGGTGCGTCTTGGTCGCTATTAATGGTGAGCGTTGTCGACATGGTCAAGTTGGACGCGACGCTTCCATTAGAGCCATGCGAGTCGGAGAGTGGTAGGGCCTTCTTCTTCAGCCGCGTCTTGGGTTGTTGTTCCTGGCCCTGACTTGATTGTTTACTGCTGTCTGACGACGAGGCGGCCCGGTCGACCGCACGCTCGTCGTTGGTTGCCGGGAGCTGCTCGTCGGGGACAGGTTTGCGTGACTCGGAGACACCCCGTGGAGGGGGTTGGTTCAGTAGTAGATACTCCTCTTCGATGTATTTCGCCTCAGCCTTGCAGCCTCTCCAGCACTCGCGCCAATCGCAAACCAAGAAGCGGAAGCAGAATGCGTCAATCTTCATGCACGGCTGAAAGCAAATACACAAGTTGCGGAAGTCCATTTTGTTCTTGTCCGAATGTGCGAGCAAGAGGCTGAGATGACAGGTGATGGCGAAGAGCAGGTAATAGTTGAAGGGTGAGAGGTTGGAGAGTTCGTCGATCAGCAACTGAGGAACCTTGTCGGAACCAGCGCACTCTTTGGCAACCCTCTCCTGAGCGGCCTTGGGGAAGAGCTCATCGGGAAGCTCGCGCAACCAGGCCTTGAGCATGGAGCCGATAATGTTGATGTCGTACAGATCGTCCTGCTCAAACAAATTGACATCCAGTTCTAGACGCCAGTTAGTTTCGATTCCGCAGGAGGATCGCAGTTAGACAAACCTTCATCAAATCTCCTTTGCCACTTCTTGATTTGAGGCCCGCTGCCCGGAACTCGGTAGAGACCTTCCACATCGCAGCCCTTGTAGTTGAGGTAGTCAATCGCGCGCCACGGAAACGCTGGCATCCAGAACTCGGTCTTATCCCTAGAATCCTCCAGCTTTCGTGATATGCGTGTCCTCCGGGTCTGTTCCACTAAAGGGAGGTTGATGACCTTCAAAACATAGTGTTCGTCATCAATGATGGGCTCCCGCTCTGTGGTGCTCCCACTGCGCATGCTCTTGCCGAAAAGTCCTTTGCTGATCATGTCTGCGGCTTTGAGGTTCCTCAGCCCACCAAAGAAGCTTCCATTGTCGCGAACAGAAGGTGAGGCGTGTTGTCGCGATGGTTCTCTGTCACGCTGGTTCTCTTTGTTGCTCTGGTCTCGTTGTGGTAGAGGCGGAGCACGGTCTTCTGACCTGTTTCTTGCGGCAGAGTTCATCTTGTTCGTGCTGTTGCTGCTGAATGACCTATCGGCCCCCTGCGGTCGCGCCATGAGGCCTGGACTATTGTTGCCTAGAGGTGCCCTCGTGGACTCTATAGCCTGGACTGGAGAGTGAATCGTCTGGCGGTACTCTTTGGGACTGGGAGTAGGAAGCTCGCTGTCACGGGCTGATTTGGTCCGTCCCAGTAAACCAAATGGTTTGGGTTTGTTCTTCTTAGACAGATGACTTTGGGAGGCGCTGGTGGTGTATTCTCCCGTGGAGGAATGAGTCAGGTTGGATTGAGGGAGCTGAGAGGTGGAAGACTGCTGAACAGAACGTTCCGGAAGAGAGGTGTCTGTCACGCAGAATGTACACAGTTAGCGGGTGCGCGCAAAGAAGGAACCGTGACAAGCGGAACGAGACGCCGGGGCAAGTGACCTGGCGATGGGACCCGCGCCGTGCCTGGCGCATGCACAGTCGCATTGGAGAGGGGTTTCAGCACAACCAAGGAACGCGCACGCGCGCGTGCAATTGCCCATACCTGAAAGCTTTGCAGACTTGCTGCTGGGGACGGAGGTGTCAGTGCCTCGCGATGCGATCTCGCTCCGCGACTCGGAGCGTCTGTGCTGATGCTGTAGTTGTTGCGACGGCGGCTGCTGCTGCTGCTGCTGCTGCTGCTGAGTGGATTGTTTCTGGGTCGGTTTGGACGACTTTGTCAAATTGAAGAAGAAGCCGCTCTTGGAGGGGCGACCCTGATCGCGGGGCTGGGATGGCTGGGTGGTGTTGGACTCGTGTCGAGGGGCAGGGCGAGGATTTGGCCGCGTGGGAGTCTCGGCAGGCTGATGCAACGCAGAGGTGATCGGGGGGTAGTTTTGGGCTTCTTCGTCGTCGTCGTCGTCAAAGTCTTCGAGGGCGCGCGAATGAGCGTGGGAGGCGGAAGCATTGAGAGAAGCCGAGTCGGGTTTCTTGGGCGAGAATCTACTGAATGGGGAACGTGGTGTTCTGGGGGACGAGCGGTGGGAATCTGCGCTCGGGAGAGAGACGACTTGGAGGGTTTCAGCGGAGCGCGGGTGGTGCTCGTCCTCGGGCAGGGCGGAGTGACCCGACAGCGTCAGCGGCTGCGGTACGGGTTTGCGTGCCATTTTGGCTGGTGCCTATCTGCCTCGCCCTACTGGGAGTGCTCTGCCGTGGTACGCTGTTTTATGCAGCGCTTTGCTTTCCTCGTTTTGCTTTGCCTGGCGGTGGTGGAGTTGGTATGAACTGTCTGGACTGGGACAGGCAACTGGGCGCTGCTGGTGATTGAGGTACAGGCTTCCCACAACCTGCAGTTCGATACAAAGAGGTGCCGGTGGTTGTGTGTGTGTGTGTGTGTGAGTGTGTGTGTATGTGTGTGTCAAGGTCCTGGTCAGGCAGGTGAGGTCCAGGTCCAGGTCCAAGGCTTGAGGTCCGAGATTCGTATGGAAGGGTTAGGCCTGAATCGTAGGGGCGCCGCAGGAGGGGGTTAGGTGATGTCTCGAATTGGGCGCGCGCTGCGCTGGGACGTGTAATGGTGAATCCGTCTGTCGGGCTCGGAAGAGAATCCAGGGGTGGTCCGGTGTTAGGATACCAAGGCAGACTGGGAGAGGGGTGTAGCCATGAGAGCAACAATAATGCAAGAAAATTGATATCGGCCAGAGGACGAGTCAAGTCAAATTGGGGGTTGAGGTCCAGAAGCCAGGTATAGGGAATCGAAAAGATGATGTAGCCAGCGGTCCCCAAGCCAAGACAACGACTGACCTGGCAGAAACAGGCGGGAATGGCGTGGCTTGCCAGATTGCTGCCGGGGCCAACGAAGAATGCCGCGAGGGAGCAAAGTGTCGGGCACTGAGGTAGGTGCTTCTGTTCAAGGTGTTGTGCAGGGTCCTCGAAGGAGAGCAGCAGAAAGTGAGAGGGCCAGGGCCGGGACCAGGGCGGGTCAGGTTCAGGGTCAGGGTCAGGGAGACACGAGACAACCCGCTGGATGATGGGCCAAGGAAAGACAGGTCACGTCGAAGAACAGGCTGGCGCGGAGGGATAGATAGCGATCCAAGATGAGCCTGGAGAAGCGCCAGGTGGAGTTCGAGGCAGGCGTATGGTTTCTTGTTGTAGGTAGTCGATGATAGTGCGCAGGGCAGCGGGTGCGAATGAAGTGCGCAAATGCGATACGGTTGAATGATTGTGTCTGGCTGGGCTCCATCTAGGCCATGGGGACTGCGAGGAAATACCGAGTCTCCTTTGCTCAGAGATGTGCGAAGCTGTGGGTACACATGGTGTGTTCAGAGATCGAGGATCTTTTGGTACTTTGTCTCCTACGTTTTGACTCCTTGATGCCTGGGAGTGTGGACTCTTCCTAGGTGCTTGGCAATATGGCAAGTAACAAGGAGATTCGACGGGTGGTCAAAGGCTGCTGATTGTTCTGTCTAAACAAACTTTCTTTGTTGGTGACGAGGCCGCCATGTAGGTACCTATCTACCTAGGCACCTACCTAAGGCACCTACCTACCTACCTTACCTCGGTACGTAGGTAATAAGGCAGGTAGAAGCATCCAGACGATGCTTCTCTCTGTTGAGCCTGCGAGCGCAGGCGGCCGCAGGAGCTGGAGGGGCAACGACGAGTGAGAGGTGCACACAAGAACGAGGGAAGATGAGGGGGAAAGCGCCTGGGATTCGCACAGGCACCGGCCGAAGCGCAGGCTCTGTCACAGGTACAAGCACAAACACTTGTCACAGGCACATGGCCCGCATCACGACCACTGAGGAATTCTGAAACACCACACCAAAGCTGCACCGCTTTCAGGGGTTGCCTTAGTGCGCGTGCTAAACGCCGCGCCACAATCGAACCCACTCGTCCACTGTAACAGGAACAGCACTGGCACTCCACTTCTGTGCCAGATGCCCACCGCTCTCCCCTCTCGTGTGTCTCGCGTTCACATGTCCTCGACGACGCCGACGACGATGCACGATGGAGGCAGACAAGGCAGGGTGGGGTTCCTCGAGTGGACTCGGTGGGCTCGCTATCAGGAAGCCAAGACGGTGGTGATCCTGATTCACAGAGAAAGATCTGGGGTAAGCGGTGTTTGACTCGCCTCAGTATTGTCACCCAGCATTGTGGAATTAACTAAAGCAAGTCCATTACGAGTCTTCATCTCGCCAGAAGTCCCAGAGCCCAAGCCCATGAGCCAGGTGCTGGTAGAAGCGTCGCTGAGGTTAAGGTCAGCCCACAGGAAGTGCCGATCATGCCATCCACGAGGTCACAGCAGCCCTCGCCCGCCGAGAGTCGTACTGTACACTTCTGAAAAGTTCTTGTTGGATTGGCTCCTGTTGCCAAATCAGCATGACGACGACTGCCAAACAGCCTCGTTGACGTGTCTCCCGTTACCCAGGTACCTTAGATATGGGCTCTGCCAGATAATGATCCGACCACGACCGGTTTCCCCTTCATCACAAACCACTTGTGTCATGACGAGCTCCCAATTCAAGCGTGGCGACCTGCGGCATCGGAACCTGGACAGCACAAAAAGTTACCCGTTCTGAGAACTGGAGCCAGACTTCCGAAGTACCACAAGCCCCGTGACAACCTCACCCAGCCGGAAAAACAAATGATCAAAAAGGCTGCACATGCACAGCATTTGTTCGGCATTGATTCAAGCCACTTACAGTAAAAGGCTGAAGGCACCGTGAGAGCTTATGCAAGCACTGCTCCGCTGGGTGCAACTGAATGTAACCCAATGGCCAGCCTATCTCATGTCCTCTAATCCGAAGCGAAGATCCCCCAAACTCCAACCATTGACTTCTGACCAGGCCAGGTGTGGCGCCTCTGCCGTATTCACCATCGGGTCTACTCCGCCCGCCGTATTATTTCGCTCCTGTCCCAGTCTCCGGAAAGGCAGGGTACCTTCGTCTCGTCTCCCACACAGACTTGAATACTTCCGATGACGCTACTCCAAGAGAGGTCTAGTCCAGGAACGTGGCCTGGTGCCTCAATCTTGAAACTCTCGTTCGAGCCGCTTGCTGTTGCCGGGAAGGCGCGGCGGCAGTAGCCTTCGGGCAGGATGACAGTTCTGTCCCTACCTAAATGACCCATACCGATCGCGATGAGATGTTGCAGCTGGGCTCGCATCAACGTGGCTGGTGGGAAGGGAAGCAACTGTGATACCCGCAATTCCGATCTTCAAGGCCAATCTGCCGGGCGGTGTTCAATGACGAGAATTAAGCTTGCGGGAGGGATTGGAAACAGGATTGAGCCTAGGCGGGCCAAGCCATATGACTCGTCCCGTGTGCGTCTCTGGTGCTCTTCGCTGGCTTATTAGCCCGTGCTCCCCACCAGAGCGCCGTACAAGGTAGAGGTACAGTAAACCCTAGCGCCCCTCACCTCGGATCACCTGGCTCACATCGACCCTGCCAAATCCACCGCTGAATGCTCTAACATGCCATTCGGGGTTCTAGATGCGTTGCACACGTCACGAAAAGGCCGCAAATATCATCTGGATCTTCCTCATATTTACCGCCCGAGCACTACCTACCACTGAACTACTAGAAACAGGAGATGCACAGCGCGGCAGCCACCTCATCAGCCTCATGCGCCTTGGAAATGGAGCAGTGCCAACGCCGTCACATCGCGGGAGATCCATCTCCACGCGCGCATTCGCCCCTCCCCCTCCCCCTTAGATTCTCGCCGCTAGGTGCCTGCACCCAGAGTCAGATCAGGCCGAAGAAACCAACAGGAATCCCTCCTCGTAACCCCTCAATCCATTGCTCCTTCGTGGTGGATCATGCCGAAGGACGCCAAATTTTGTGACATATCATGTCGGTTCCCATAGATCGTCCATCAAATAGGCTCTCGACACGATGGGTAATAAGCAAACGAGGTCGAGACGCGCTGGGCACATACGTGTAGAGTGTTCTAGATCACTACAACCCTGCACAGGCCATCGATATGGGTCTATTTGCGCTCATGCGGTTTGCCTCTCCCCTCCCATCATTGTTTATCCCGGGGCTCCACGGGCTATCCGCCACGAGGATGTGAAATCAATGTTGTTTGACCGACAATTCAGCGACTGGATGTGTGTCATCTTATCGACGTCTTCGGTGTGATACTACACATCGGTGAACATCAACTGAACCCGTCGAGCTGGGCATGTCAGTCAGCCAGTATTGTAACTGGTCAAATGAACAGGTAGCGATACTTGCCAGCGAGTCGCCGGCGACCACATCAATGATGGTCTTGCTGCCAATTCTCCTATTCGTTTCTCCTCAAATCTACCAATGAAATGGACTCAAACACTTGACCACCAGAAACATGTCTGGTGCCTTGGAAATATGTGTCGTCAGCGCTTCTCAGCTTGCCAACTCTTCATGGTCAGGACTTGAGGCCAAAGCTCATCTTGGTTATGTCCGTTACGTGTCCATACATTTTGTCGTCGCTTCTCAACTAAACAGCAATATCTGCCGCTGCAAAATCTAGCACCTGGCAGGGCGTTTATATGGTCGCTGAGGGTCGAGTCTTGAGACTCGACTCGAGGGTCAAGCGTGGGCATCTCACAAGTTTAGCGATCAGAAAAATATTTGTACATCATCTCTCATTAGCATTACATCTACATCGTAGCTAGATCGTGGACGTGACTCGTGACAGGGCCCGTCGACCGCATACTGCGAAGGGTCTACTTGCTAACGCCGCCGCCGCAAGGACCGGAGTGGGTGTGCTCGTGGGCGCCCTCACGCTTGGTGAACTGGGCACGATCCGCAGCCCAGCGCCTCTGGTTCATGTCGACAGGGCCGAGGGACTCAAAGCTGAGGGCGTACTTGGCGACAGAGTTGGCAATGCTCTTGGTGTTAAGCAGGTAGGCCTCCTTGTTCAGGTTGTCTACGGTGTCTCCGGCCTTGTGGTAGTTGACATCGTACGCAACGCCAGCCTCACCGCCGAAGAGACGCTGTTCCTCCTCGGTCTTGGGGACCTCGGCACCGGTGAAGAGACCTCCGGAGGGGATGCCGTTCTCGATGAAAGCGGCGTAATCAGAGCGGCCGCTGAACTCGGAAGGCACGTGAGCGGCTCCGTTGGCCTCGTAGAACTCCTCAAAGTCCTTCTCGATAACATCAGAGCCAGCGGGGCCGGTCAGGCCGAAGGCGCCGCCATCTCCATCGTAGATGCCGTAGACGTAGTTGGGCGAAGCAATCTGTCGAGCGAATATTAGCAGACGGTACTTGGTCATCGAGCACATGTGTTGCGTACCATGTCGAAGTTGAGGTAGGCCCTCATCTTAGCGAGCTCAGTGTCAGAGCTGTTGAGTTGCTTGACGTAGTAGTACGAGCCAAGCTTGCCGTACTCCTCAGCACCCCACCACGCAAAGCGCACAGCGTTCTTGACCTTGAAGTGGGACAGGGCGACGGCAACGTTCAGGACACCGATGGAACCGGAGCCATCATCGCTGTAGTACTGTTAGCTCCCGTTTGGCAAAGTACATGTATATGCAAAGAGAACTCACTTGATACCGGGACCGGCAACAACAGAGTCGGAATGGCCACCGAGGACGAGGACATTGTCATGGTCACCGCCCTTGGTCTCGGCAATGACGTTGTAGTTGACGCGGTTCTCGACAATGGCGTCAACATCAAAGTCAACTTCAACTTCGCCAGCCTCGAGCTTAGCAAGCAGCGGGACACTATCCTCCTGGCTGATGCCAACGGTGGGGACATATTCCAGGAAAGGCGCGCCAAGGGTGGCAGAGAGCCCACCAGGCACGTTGTTGTAGATGATCAGGCCAATGGCACCGGCGGCCTTGGCGTTCTGCGACTTGAGACCAAAGGCGCAGGTGCCGCGAGACAGAAGGACGATGCGGCCCTTGGTCTCGGCGGGGAAGTCGCTGACAGCGCAGCCAAGGCCGGGGACGTGGAACAGGGGGCCCTTCTCAGAGCCGCCGGGGGTGTAGGTCATGATGCTGCTCTCGATCTTGGCACCGTCGACGGTCAGGGTGGACGTGCCGGTGGCGAAGATCTCGGAGAAGGGCTGCTTGACGACGTCGTAGTAGTCGAGCTTGGTGAGGGTCTCGTACAGGTAGTCGACGGTGGCGTTGTGGCCGCCACTGCCAAAGGCACGGTTGCCGCCATGCGCGTCGGCCTGGTCCTGGAGCGCCTGGGAGCCGGCCATGAGGTCCTCGATCTTAACCAGCTCCTGCAGGGCTTCGCTCGAGACATACGGCTTGCACTTGGCCGCGCTGGCAAGCGCGGGCAGGGCCAGGGCCAGAGATGCGGTAGAGGTCCTCATCTTGAATCAAGGGAGCAAATCAGACTGCGACGGTCGGAGGAGAGTGAAGGGCGGAGCAGGTGACGGGAGGTGAAGGCGCAATCGATCGACATTCCGAATTTGCGGGCGCGTCGCCATTTTGTACCTACATGCCAGAAAGCTTCTCCTCTCAGAAAGGAAGGCTGGCGGAAGGCAAAGACATGGCTTGGGGAGCGGAAGCTGCAGAAGGTCGGCCAGGCATGCGGTAGCAATGCGGAGGGTCAAAACTGGGGTCGATAGCGTCGAGGCGAGCATCCTAATGCGGCAGTTGTGAGACTCGTGTCGAGCATCATCAAGTCAACAAATCGCCTCACCAACTGGAGCTGCCTCTTCAAGCATGCGCCGGCGGGTTCTCCGTGGGTTTGCCATGGGTTTGCCATGGGATCGCCTGTCGCTTCTAAGCAATTGACCCGCGCCGGCATGCGACCCTACCCGTGCCCTTCAGAGGCCCTAGCATGATAACGGCAGGTAGTACTTAGCTTTGGTGTGGCTGGACAGGGCCATGCAGGCGCTATCGGCGTATCGAGCGAACTGCACAGCACTGGAGCCTGCAGGGCAGGCGCTACCGTCCACTCATCGCCCCCCCTCTTGCTGCTCATTGCTGCTCACTCGGCACCCGGCGGCCGGTTACCCCAGCCTTGAGGCTTGGCAACCGCGCTGCATTACCTAAGGGGTGGCTTATCTCCATTTGGTCTTTCTAGAAGCACCGCAGCGCTTGACGTCGTGTCTTGCCCAACGCCCGTCCAAAGCCTGCCCGCCGACTCATTTCATCGTCGATCATCTCACGACAACCCAGCTCATCAAACCCCGGTCGCACGCACCGGATTTCGCTGCTTCCCCACCCTGTACGCAACACAAACACACACACACACACACACACACACACACACCCAAAGCCATGGCTGCAACCGTCGGCAGCCTGCCGGAAGAGCTTAAGCTTGTCACTGCCGCGCACGTCAGATACATCCAGAGCCTTGACACCAAGAAGGACGAATACGACTACTGGCTGACCGAGCACTTGCGGTTGAATGGCGTGTACTGGGGTCTAACGGCCCTTCATCTCCTCGGCCACCCCGAGGCCTTACCGCGCAGCGATACCATTGACTTTGTCTTATCATGCCAGCACCCTAGTGGGGGCTTTGGTGCAGCCCCCGGGCATGATGCGCATATGCTCTCTACAGTCAGTGCTGTTCAGATTCTCGTCATGCTTGATGCCGTAGACGAGCTGGAATCTCGAGCCAAGGGGAAGGCTCAGGTCGGCAAGTGTGAGTGACCCCGATTGTTGACCTACAACCAACCGCAGGCTGATCATCCTGAGCAGTCATCGCAGACCTGCAGAACCGAACAACAGGCACCTTTGCTGGCGACGAGTGGGGCGAGGAAGACACACGTTTCCTTTACGGCGCTCTGAATGCATTGTCACTCCTAGGTCTCCTGGACCTCGTCGATGTCGGCAAAGCAGTGGAACACATTGTAGCCTGTGCCAACTTTGATGGTGGCTATGGCGTCAGCCCAGGGGCTGAGTCGCACTCCGGCCAAATTCTCACGTGTGTAGCTGCACTTGCCATTGCCAAGCGGCTGGATGCTATCGACGTCGACAAGCTCGGCCGTTGGCTGAGCGAGCGTCAAGTGGAATGCGGCGGTCTCAACGGCAGGCCCGAGAAGAAGGAAGACGTTTGTTACAGTTGGTGGGTCCTAAGTAGTCTTGCTATCATCGGACGGACGCACTGGATCGATAGCGACAAGCTCACGGCCTTTATTCTCCAGGCGCAGGATCCCGAGTTGGGTGGTATCGCTGACCGACCAGGAGATATGGTGGACGTATGGCATACCGTCTTTGGCATTGCTGGGTTGAGTTTGCTGAAGTACCCGGGGCTCGAGGCCGTGGATCCTGTCTACTGTATGCCGAAAGCGACCATTGAACGAGTTCTGGGTAAGCAGTAGAACCCAATGTCAACTTGTTCAGACCCGGAACGGCCGCCCTTCTCTGATCACCGCTGCACGTCCTTGAACCACCTCGCACTAGACGCATGGGAACCCGTCCATGACCCAAGGTCTTGGGCCTGGCAGTGGGGTTCGGAGGATGCATCAGATTAAGTGTGTTACCGTTCCTGCAGACTCCCTACCCGTCGTTGCATCCGGATCTCTTGGCGTCTGCAAGTGCCTGACGACGTGGTCAGATGTCAATTGGTGGGCTCAGTAGATTTGGGAATCTGCGCCGAGCCTCACGACCACACTCGACCTGCGAGGCTGAGCGTCGTTGCTCTTTCCCATTCCCGTCCCTCCGACACCGCCCTCCCGCGCACTCGGATGGCTCCGCCCCCCAACGATGGCTTACCTAAAAGCTTTTGAGTATGCCGTCAAAGCCACAGTATTTTCTCGACCGAGGACAGAGAAGACGCCTTTCTAGGTAAGGTAGTTACCAGCGTAAGCTCCTTCCCTCCTTCCCTCCTTTGCGACTTTGATGCTGCTGTGCAAGTCAAGTCCCTCATGACGCTCTACCACGATAGGACAGTGGATCGACCCTGCCCGTTTTCCTGATTCTAGAGTGATTGACCTGCACCATGACTGCTCAGCGATGACGTCGACCCTGCACACCGGTCTTACTACGTCTTGTGGTCTAAATCTGTACCTCCTTCCTCTGTTGCATATGCCTACCTACATGAGGACATTGCAAGCACGTCAGCTTAAAACGCATCACAGGACGGTCATTCCTTCAGCAGTGACAAGCCCACGCTGATTGCCGTGAATTTCAGCAGCGAACTGACGCTCGAACTAGGCCAAAGGACACATTCTGTATACAGATGTGGTTCTCGTGCACCTGGTTATACATCCGTCCCCTGACAATTGTCTTGATAGACACGCACTTGTGACTGCCTTGTCTTGGTGCCCACAACGGCCCCACTTCGGCCCCGCTTTCGGAGGAGATGGCAAGCCCCGGGATCTCGGTCTTGATACTGGAACAAAGACAGGCAGGTGCGCGAAAGCTTTCTGTCGACAAACTTCGAAATCGACTACATTTTTTCACGACTTGTGAAGTCAAGGATACCGACTGTCATCCGAAGCCAGAGCTCATCGGCCCATACCGTACCTCAACTTGTATCTACCAGTTAGAAGCACGGATACTGCCTCACCGGCTGGTATGTTGGCTGTTTCTCTCCCCCCTCTAGACTATCAGCACACCTTTCCTTCGCAGGGCCTCCTTGATTCATGGTCTTCTTTGATGGCGTGTCCTTCATCGAGATGGGTGGCGAACCAGTCCCAGAGGACCCGTTTCTCCGTGGCGAAATATGTCTACCATGTTCACACTTAGTCCTTGGGGCGAGCACGTTTCCAGTCTGTGTACAGCGCCATCTTGTTTTCCCTCACTCATGTCTTCATCAAATGGATATAAGCCACATGAGCCACATTGTTTAGCGTGCCAAAATTTTCGGCGAACCCGGCGTGTCTCGACATGACAGCCCCGTCCACACGCCACCCCCGCATTGATCCCATCGTGCCTGCGATACAATCCCATACCCAAGAACCACTTTCCTCAATGATCTTCTACTAATCATTCTGCTCAGGCAGTTTCTGTCCAAGAAAACATCACGGTCTCGCCAGCAAGGCTCGAGCAGTCATCACAGCTACTCTTGTCCCTCCCTGACCGCCCCAGCATCGAGCGTAGAGCTCAGATCGACGCAGCTATGTACTCCGAAGTCTGTCCACTGTACGATGCCATTGGGGAAGGCTCAATGCACCAACGAGGCGCCCTTGGGCACGATGCAGGTAAGCTGCTTCGTTCAACCGGTCGTTCCTCCCCGTATGATCCTCGTGGTCGCTCCTGAAGCGTTCGTTAGTCAAAGCAAGTCATTATGTTCAATCCCCATCTTGTTGTTAAACCTTGTCTGCTCATCCTCTTGACCATGTTTCCAATCATTCGCCTTTCACTCTCTCTTGATCGAGTTTCGACCCATCACTCGCTTCTCTTGCTCTTTGCTGTCAGAACCTGCTTCTCTCATGTGATCCTTCTCTTGTATCTGAGAATACAGGCCCCTGTCTCTGGCCTTATCCCAGCATAAAGCTCTTGGCTTTGGAGGCTATCATCACCATTCATTTGTACGGTTGTTCGTATCTTTGTACTAAAGACTGTTCAGAATATGGATCCACAGTTGACCTCATCAACAACAAGCCAAAATGTGTCCATCGACTTTCACCCCAAACCGCCCAGCCATGATGGCTACCATCCGCTGGAAGACCCGCAACTTCACGCCGCGAATTTCAGCCTGGGCCTATCTGAATGCCCTTCAGAGACACCACATGACTTCTTTTCTCTTTCAGGTGCTCCGCTTCCAGAGGTGCCTCCGGTAGCATCCCCAGTGGTAGCCGTGCGCCTTCCACTCCAAGCGGGTAACGTAAACGCAAGGATTCACGATCACGCCAACAAGAACAACAGTAACGGTAGCACTCCCCTCAAGACCACTTCTGCTGTTATTTCCAAGACGCGCAACAAAGCCAACTTTCCTTTGGTGTGCTACCTTTGCGACAACGAACCCAAATACTCCGACGTTTCCCATCTTCTCACCCATCTTCTGTCTCGTGGTCACGCCAGAGCTAAGGGCAACATCGAAGTCAGATCCCACATCCCGGGGGACGTCGAAGCTGCTCAGAAATTCGCAGCCTTTCAAAAGTGGCAGGACGACAACGGAATTGGGGCTTTGCTGAGTGAACGTTTCCTGGACAAGAACAACAAGAAGAAGGAGAAGGACCGCGTCGAGGCAGCCAAGCGCAAACGCTTCCTTGAACAGCAGCGTACAGTAAGTCAACACCCCACCTCAATCGTAGCCTCTTCGGACCAAGTCTTTATTTGAATACCCCGGATCTGTGGCCTTCATACTGCCGTTCCTTCCACAATCTCTTGACCCCGGTTTTCACTGACGATTTATAGTCTTCGAAAAAGCGCAAGAACCTGTTCTTGCCACACATTCCGACAGAACTCATGGACGACTTCAATATCACGCCCAATAGCGTCAACCAGGACTTCGATGGCCTGAATCCCACGGAAAGTCTCGACCGAAATGTGACTCCAGGCTTCCTGGCGGCCCAAGATCTTACCTACCTGGGTCCCGTCTACAGCGATTACGATAACTCTCGCGTTTCTGACTATGTAGACAGAAGCGATATGGTTTCAGAGTACGCATCTGACAATGATGACAATGTACGCAGGGTTCCGGAGCTCAAGGGTCAGTATTGGCCTGGCATGCATCTGTTCGATTCCGCAACCGAAGAGGGCAAGAAGAAGCGGAACCAGCGCAAGGATGATTCCGTGATTCAGCGCATGCGAATCGGCTCGGATGCTATTAACCCAACAGAGATGGTTACCGATATGATGATGAACTTTGGACGCTATCGCCACATTGACGAAGACCCTTCCGACGACGAGGTCAGTCCGGTACGTTGAGTGTTCCCATAGTTTTCATGGCCGACCCCGGCCCCTCCAGATGCCAGCTAATCACGGACTTCAGCTCAAGGGCTCTGCGTCTAAAAAGAAAACATTCACCCACAAGCCTTCAGTTGTCTCTGAGCACATCCTCAAACGAAGATCCAAGGCTCTCGCTACCATGGGTGGACGCCTCTCTACGCCTACCAAATCGACCCCACGCAAGAGTACCCCCCGCAAAAGCACCCCGAGGAAGTACACACCTCGAAAGCAAGCTGCCGTGAAGACCCCAAGCAAGAAGCCCAGCAAAGCTCGTGGTCAGGCTACTAATAAAGCAGTCGCTGATAAAGAGCGGACCGGAGAGCGGCGCCCAAAGCGTGGTAGCGCTACGCGAGCCAAGTCAAGGATTGCTGCACAGGCGGAGCAGGCAGAACATGACATGTTTGATGATCGCGATTCAATCGACCAGGAGTTTGAGATTGATTCACCTGATGAGACCCCGATCAAGGCCAAATTCAAGAAGGAACCTGCTCGACGCACCACCCGCAACGACTCCCTACATTCTTCTTATAAGCACTCTGCCCCGTCCACCGTCGAATCGACCACTGTCAGCACTAAGAACGAGCATGGTGTTTACCAGGATGACGGAGCAAACTTGCCTGGTGCGCTTTCCTGCTTTGCTCCTGTACTCAGAGGCTAAAATAGTGCAGGAAATTCTACGTCTGGCGTGGCGGGCAGGCTTTCCAGCGACTCTAGGCCGGGTGATACCGTCGTCTATAACTCGCATCTTGACTTGGTATGTTGAATTTTCTTGAATTCTTTTGGAGTTTGACGTGGTTTGAATGTTCCTCTTCACCCTTATCGGAGCGCCAAGAATGGGATTCGTTTTTGTCCTCATCTTCGGTGGGGAAAACTGCGTTTGGTTTATGCGAAGAGAAAAATAGACAAATCATTGACTGAATGAACACTCAGGGTATTCTACAGCCCCAACAGCCCCAACAGCCCCAGCAGCCTCAGCAGCAACCCCAAGGAATAGTGCCTCCTCAGTTTTTTGCCCATGGCATGCATAGTCACTGGGCACCAACTCCAGTCTTCAACGGCTTTGAGCCTCAAGTCATTCCTGGACATGGCATGATTCAACCTCGAGATTTCTACCAAGGTTATCAGCACCAGTCACTTCCGCAAAGCGGCCATAACCAGAGCTCCTTCTATCACCCCCACCCCCACCAGCAAAGCTATGCCTATCCCGATCCGATGTTTCATGACGACATGTTTCAAGACCGCTCTGGTTCTGTCAGATCTCCGCAAGTCATAACATGGAACACGGCCAACACCAACACTAATGAGAACACCAACATCTACGGAGGACAACCCTGGTCCGTGATCAGCGCCGCAGAGCGTGGATATACCTCCCACCAGAATACCGGATGGGTTGACGCTGGTCATGCTCCAGCATCTGGTAGTGCGAGTGTTCCTCCCGGAGGCAACCTGAACGCCAGTGTAAGCGCGATGCCGACAAGCGGCCCAGAACCTTTAGCTGCAAGCCCTGTGACCGCAGTTATCAAGCTCGACCCTGCACAGGAATCTACCGATGGCCAGTCCTATCACTTTGACGATGCCATGGAAGCCATGGGACACTGACGGAGAAGGAGTGCTAACGAAGGGTAGATCACTACGCTTCTTGAGTCGAAGACGTGGGCGGTTCACCGTAATCCCACAAAGTTACAGGAATTACATTCGCGCACATGGACGACGCATTGATGAGGACTGTCACAGGTTAGTCCGATGCTGCGGCGTCCAGAATTTCTGAGCCTTTCCGACGACTTACACTGGCTTACAGTATCAGATTTCGTACAAGGTCGGCGCGAGCCACATTCTAGTCCCGATACACATTTCATTCACAAAAAACTGTCTGCGATGTCTCGCAGGCCGAAGTCTTTGGTTGTTCCAGAAAAGTCTCTCAGTGCAACGGTATCAGCTGGTCGCTGCCACGAAGTGCCCGATACTATGGTCTCCTTCGGCAGCCGACCGCCGTACAGGAAGAGCAGTGCATCCCGACGGGGTTGGTGGGAGAAATGTGTATGGGGCAGAGGAATCATCGTTCTTTGGACGACTCGTACGGACTGAAAGACAGGAACTGACGACAGCTGGAAGCGAGGCGTTGACACAGTTATCGCCGGCATTCGGCATCTGCAAAGGCCGACAGTCTATAGCTTACATTCTCCAAAAACGATACGATTTTGCTTCGATGATGCGACGTGACTGGATTTGATGCAACAATATGAATTCAGGGCTTGCTTTACAGTTGTTCAATGCTCGAGATTAGGTGGTCCAGCTGATCAGCAGCGTCCACCTCATTGCCCGTCGTAAACAAATCAGACAAGAGACGACCAGCTCCCTGCAATCTGCGTATGCGCATATCTCTCTCCAGCTCGCGCGACTTGCGTGCGGCCACGTTGATGACCTTGCGGGGGATCCGCGCCAGACGCGCGACGTTCAGGCCATATGACCTGTGCGCAACGCCCTCAGCCACCTCGTAAAGGAACGTAATCTCCTCATCCGCAGCGGCGGCGGCGTCAACATCGTCATCGCCTTCACCATCAGCGCCGGCCTCGTTGTCGGGCGCCTCTCGCCCATCGGGCCTGGTGGCGGTGAACCGCATGTGCACATTCCGAATGGGTCCCTCGCCGGTGGGATCCGCCATGCGCGCGAGGTTCTGGTAATGGGTGATGAAGAGCGTCGGGCACCGGAGGTTATGGGCGACGTGGTGGAGGACGGCGTGGGCGATGGCGGCGCCGTCGTGGGTGGATGTGCCGCGGCCGAGCTCGTCGAGGAGGACGAGGGAGCGCGGGGTCGCGGCGCGCAGGACGCGTGAGGTCTCGGAGAGCTCGAGGGCAAAGGTGGACTCGCCGGCGAAGAGGTTGTCGCGGGCGCCCATGCGGGCATGGATGGCGTCGAGAGGCGCGAGAGTCAGGGCTTCGGCGGGGACGTAGGAGCCGATCTGGGCTAGGAGAGCGAGGAGCGCGAGTGCGCGGACGAAGGAGGACTTGCCTCCCATGTTGGGACCGGTGATGAGGTAGGCTAGAGGGGTCGGGGAGGCGAGGGCGGCGGTGAAGGGGATGTAGCCGTTGGGTAACGTGTGATCTGCGACAGGGTGGCGACCTGCGGTGACGGAGATTTGCGGCGGAGCCGAAGAGGGGAGGAAAGTGGGCTTGGTGTAGCCAGGAAGACGGGCTACCCGCGCAAGAGACATGAGGCAGTCAAGCGTGGCCAGAGACGCGACGGCATCCCGGAGAGGCTGGTAGGCGTCGTGGGCTAAATCGTGGAGGAGGGCGGCGAAGGCGGCATCGCAAGCCGAAGCGAGAGCTTCACGATTCTGATCGCGGGCTGCCAGCAGGCGGACTGCTTCAGGGGTGTGGAAGCGGGAGAGTTTCTTGGTGCCGGAAATCTTGGCCCATGAAGCCGGCACGTTCTTGAGATCGGTGTTGAGTACCTCAATAAGGTATTCGATACCGGCGACTGTGACGTAGTCGACGGGTTTCTTCCGGCCGAGCTTAGCGGCGGCATCGCGGCGATGCTCGTCAAGTTCCTGCTCGACAGCCACGATGCCCATTTTGAAGTCCTGAATGTCATCGTTCTGCTCGGCTTCACGGAAAAAGTTGTACTTGTCATCTTTGCGAGCAGCCTCGGGGTTGATCTTGTCAAGATAGGAGATGATAGTGTCGAGGATGTGAGGAAGGGAGAGAAGCGCATTTGTGATGAGAGGAGAGGCAAACCCGATATCAGAAGCCGTCTTGATGGTCGCGTACTGGGTCGCAATACGCTGCAGGGACTGCAGTACAGCAAGGAGTTCGGGGCGACTACACTTTGCGTAGTACATGCGGATGAGGCTGCGCTCGAGGTCTGTCTTTATACCAACCAGAAGTGCCTCGAGCTTGTCAACCTGTGGGGTGCCCTGGCCATTGGCGATTTCTTCAACAGCGGCGACACGTTCCGCCAGCTGACTATCGTCAAGCAAAGGGCGGCCAACCCACTTCCGCAATAGTCGCTGCCCAAAGCGAGTAGAAGTCTTGTCGAGGGCCCAGAAAAGGCTACCGTGTTCGGTGTGGTCGGTTGAATTACGATATACCTCAAGGCTCTCGAGGGTTGAGCCGTTGATCAGCATGTGCTGGCGGGTTGTAAAGCTCTGAAAGTATTTGGTCAGATCGAAGATATGCTCAAGACCATACTCCTTTAGATGCGTGATCATTGCAGACAGACAGATAGTCACGGCCTCAGGCAAATGTAGGACCTTGTCGAGTAACAGTACTGCTGTCCCATTATCAGCCGACTCCGCTGCCGTATCCTTCATCTTGTCGGCGTAAAACTGAGTGACGTGGGTGTATGCCTCGGCGGCCATCGTTTTCGATCGCGGGACTCGCTCAACGCGGCTCCGATCGCCAAAAACATTGGTACTGCTGCCGGACAGGTGGCGGATCATCTTGTCTGTGCCCTTGGTGAGGTCCCCTACAATGACGAACTCGCAGGGGGAAATGTGCAGCAGGCGGGTCTCGATCTCACTACGCATGAATCCGTCTTCAAAGTTGTCGTAGATGATGTCTCCCGTCGCCGGCTGGACTGCCACGATGCCCACATCGACCTTCTCGTCTGTGCCTTGACCTTTGGAAGGCGTCTCGGTAATGCAGAGAAGATAGCCAGCGGCCGGGGCGCCATTTTCCCCTTGCGCATCGAGCTCTCCGTTCTCATCAATGTATGTGCCTTTCGTGTAGACATTGGTCAGCTTGCGCACGAAAGGCGCATTCCGGTTGTCGCCTGCCTTTTTCAAGGCAGCTGTCTCGATTTGCCGCACGACGCCAACCTTGTGACCAGCGGCGACAAGCCTCTTGGCGTGCACGGGCAGCCGGTGAACGGGGATGCTGGCAGACGCGAAACGGTCGAGATGTGACTCGGAAGGATGCTCGTCGTAGCGGAACTTGCCAGGTATGCAGACAATGCTCAGCTCGCGGGCGGCAATCCGCGCATCCTCGCCAAAGAAACGAAACTTGTAGCCAACCTCAACGATGAGTACTGTGTCCATGTGTTTGCGCTTGATGTCGAGGAACTGCATCTCCATGGGCGTGAGCTTCTTGTTCGCACGAGCACCACCCTTTTTCGCGCCCTTGGGTGGCGGTGGTGCCTCTTCCTCATCGCCGTCTTCCCCGTCTTCATCTTCTGCGCCCTGTGCAGCCTCTTCAACGGCAGGACCCCGGCGACGCAGCATGCTGTCTGGGTGGCCGAGTTTCTTGACGAAACGTTTGTGAAGATCTTCTTTCCGTCTTCTGGCCGTTTCTGCGTCTTCTTCTTCTTCATCATCTTCTTCAAGCGGCACTGCAGCGTCAGAAGACGGTTCCACGCAGAGAAAGCGCTCTGTCCGCGACGACGGTTTCGGCGCAGATGGCCGGACCTTGGACCCAAGAGGCGACGATGGTGCAGGGGCTACTTCCCCTTCGGCCTCTTCCGAGATATCGGCCTTTCTCCTCTTCAAAGTCCTATTAGATCCATTGTTGACTCGGTCGGCGTCCTCCTCTAGCGGCCTCTTCCGGGAAGTCTCGACTGGTTTGGTCTTGTTGGTTTCGGCTCGTGATGGCGACGGCGATTGCGTCGTCGGCTTCTGTGAAGCAGCCACGGGGCTGCTGGCAGGCCTAGGCTGAAAGAAGCTTGTGAGGGACTTCTGCTTCTTCTCGGCTGGCGCCATGATTGGATTCGGGAGCTGACTGGCGGGGATGGAGTTGAAGGGGCTCAGCCTGCGCGGATCGGGGAATGTGGTGATGTCAAAATCGAGTCGCGTCTCGGGGTCATGGACGCGTTGAGAGGTTCCAGGGTCTGTCTCCTGGGGTACGAAGGTACTTTCTGTGCACGGACCATTGTGACTTCTCGGACCGTGTACGTACCTCACAACCGTGTTTCCTGCTTGCCTCCATCTACCTATCTCCATGACGATGCATTGTGCTGCTTCGTTTGTGGGCTCATGCTCACCCGGATTATCTCAGTCGTTTTGAACCAATATGAACTGCCTTATGTCTATTACTTGATCACCACTGTTCACCTCACCCATGTTCCATAGTACAACCATGGAAGCTCCAACGCTGACCGTCAGGCGAGCTTGGTCTACCAAGTAGATCCTAATGACGCTCGCGGTGATTCGGCCATGCATCACAGCGATCGCAATCTTGACGTGGCGGTCTTTCCCCGCGGCACTTGATTCATCGCCATCTTGAGAGCAGACTGCCGGCCGTACAGCTTGTCACGCTCGTACAACAGAGGCGCCTCTCCGTCGACCATGAAATTTCCGATGGACTCAGTGCCGCGACTAAGCAGCATGCGCGGCGCCCTAAAATCGATCAGTATCAGATGATGTTTTCGACGAGGGGTCTTTCTGTGCCAGACGGCCTCGGCCGCCTGGTCATCCGTACTGGGGCCAGCAAAAGGCTGTTGGCCTTGGCTGAGGAGTGCTCTCCTCAGTTATGTTGGCGGCATCAGTCAGGGAGCCGGTCTACCTGGTATGTCATCTTCGATGAAAGCAACACCTGCAGCATACGGCAGTCAGCATATTCTCCAATAACGCAGCTCTCGCACGCAATACTGACATGCTCGCATTCAGCTTGGTCTCACGATATGGCGACCATATTCCCGGTCTTCTCTATTGGTTGCCCCTAGTATCGCCCAAGTCAACATTGTCTTCCACTTGCTCCGTGGGCTTTTCTCTGCTTCATCCATAAATTCTTCAGCTCATACAAAGCAATCAGACGAACCCCGCCCCTTTCCATACTGGGTCCACGGGACAAGCATACCTCTCAAGTTACACATGGCTGAAACGGAGGCTGACTAGGCTCGGCATCTTGCAAACACACCGTCTTGTGGAAGTTGGTCGCGATCATGTTTTCAGTACGGACCACACAACCAAAATGCAACGGGTCGTGTTCATCTCACACACATGTTTTCATGTCCTTCACCAGCACCTGTGAGCCTCAGAGCTAGGAACGGCCTCATTGAATATGTATCAGCCAAGACGGTACACCGCCTCCTCGTTCCGCCTTTCCTTCTAACCCTACATCCCCTCTGCATACTCTTACAAGCGACCAATCTTGATGAATCGTCGACCTAGTCTCTGATGTCCGGTTCACAGAGCCAAAAGCTGAAACGGCATCAATTATTGCTGCATGCAGCCACTGCAAACACCATTGGTTCGGGCCAGCTTGGTACTATATTGGCCCCTGGATAGCTATGCAGCACGGCAAACCCATCCGTGTAGTGCCGTTAACAAAACACATCACAACAGTAACGGCCCTTTGCTCGAAAGGCTGCTTTGCTGTCAAATAAGCCAGTCAGCGACCTTCGTAAGCACTCTTTATGGGCAACGTTGCCGTGCAGATTATCTTGCAATGTATGCACTCTGCCTTTCAGCTTTGGTTGAAACGGCCCAATGAAGGTACAGTCGCATTGTTACTAGTTCGCGGGAGCCTACCTGAACGCGACACGACGCGAGGCTACCAGGTGCATGAGAGGCAACTGTTTGCGGGGAAGCACTCAGACGGTATCGTAGAGCGTAAGACGGCGGGAAGTCCTTCCAGTTCCAGGGAGACGAACAGTCGTAATTCTAGGGATGCAAGAGGATATAAAAGGGGCAGCGCTTTGTGTTCCGCTGTCAGCACGATCAAACTAGCCCTCGATCCTAGGCCGCAGACACCCCAATAAAACGACTCTCATCAGTTTACCATGCGCATTTCTGACTCTATCCTCTCTATCCTTCTCCTTGTTACCTCGGCCTCCGCCTCCGCCAATCCGGAGCCGGAAGCCGACCCTCTGCCCCTCCCCGAGCCCGCTGCCGACGCGGATGCCGGATCGGCCCCGGCTCCCGGCACGTCTCTCTTCCAGCGCGCCATTCCCGAGCTCCTCGCCACTCGCCTCGACGCGTTCATTGCCGAGGACGACCTGGATAGCGAAGGACAGGCGCCGGCCCTCGAGAAGCGCGCCTGCAAGTACAACGGCTGCAAGTGCAACTCGCGCGGCAAGCAGTTCCGGTCGTGCGGCAACTGCGTGTGGACGGACAATGGCGCGTGGGTCATCAAGAAGAAGAGGGTCAAGAGCCACATCTACGAATGTGCGCCCGACGGCGGATGCTGCGACTACGGCCCTGCCAAGGACTGCGGGAAGAGCACGGCGAGGTGCTACGTCAAGGGTTGAAGGAGACAGATGGGAGAACCCGGATGGATGTCGTGTAGGGATCCTGTAAGTTTGGACTGAAGCTCCGCCGTTCAGGCTTCGATATCCATGAGGGCTTCAATACCCATGTCCATTTCGGGAAATTCCTGATGAGGCTGTAAACGTGAATTTTCTCATGCCCACCATGAAACCTTGCCGGCAAGGCCGCTGTACGCGAGTCGGAATAACCCTATGATACTGGAAGGAAGTGTGCTTCCTGCGGCTGGAACATCTTGGAGACATCTTCTCTTTGACTGAAGATGACGACCACCATATCACTTCATCACGCCTGGGTGCCACAGCATATGACCGCCGTTGACGACGTGTGTGCCTTGCTCTCTGCCGCTGAGATGACATACCCGTATCTCATCAACACAGACAAGACTGTGTTCACATCTTGCTGGCTGGCCGTCTAATTAATTTGTAGCTCGGTATACGTCCGAAATCGTCGTCTCTAAAGCCCAGTTGGCGGCAGCCCAATATATTCGAGTGCATCCCACATTGGCAGACATGCCATGCCTTGATATTTGCGTCACTCACTTCACAAAGCCACACGCACTGTTAGGCTTGAGAATATTGTGCTCATTATTTCCGCCACTGCAAACGTTGGACTGAGTTCGGGTGAGCTGATGGGCGCGTGGACGATTCTACACTCTTGGGACTTGCCGTGGCTTGTGTGCTTGTTCTCTGCGTTGCCCGACACGTTCCACATCCATATTCGGGGTATGTTTTTGGCCGAAAAATTGGTCTCACTGAACATCGAACGGTACCTCGTACACTTGACATCAAACATGAACTTTGCTATATCGCATTGAACCTTAGCTCCCCCCCTAACGTACACAGGCAGCAGCACATCGATCACGAAATTGAGTTTCGTATCTTGAATCTGTGAGCTGTTTCAGTGCCCGAGCATCAACTACGTCACCCGAACTATGTTTGCATTGGTGCCCCAATATGTCTTGCAAGCCTTTCGATGGTTCAAGGGCAGTTCCTAGCAGTGTAATCCTGAGATGGGATACGCTATCATCCCGAGCTGTCACGTCGTGGAGTCAAAGCAATCCATGTTGGTAGCCCGGAACTCGCCAAAAATGCGATATGTACAATCGTGAGCCTCGAGATGATTCCATGCCTGCTTAAACCCGGGCGCCGTCGACGAGAACGTATCCATCAGCAACCACTATAGACAAGCCGGGCTTTTTCGTGGAGCCCAATGCAGGGCCGCGAAGCGGTACTCCTATAATCAGGGTCTATGCCTCACCTGAACCAAGGCATTATCGCCGGGCACGTGGAGTACGTTGCCATCAGGCATCACCAGCTTGGTGCCCGGTAGAACGTCTCCACAGCCGGCCACACCGGAACCGGACTCGCCGCCGTGGTGCCTTGGTGTTGTGGCTGCCGAGTTCCGTTGGTAATCATACGCTTTACAACTATGATTACCAATTTGTCAGGCCACCCAGCAACACGTTGGTCGCCCATCTTCTCGTCTCATGGTCCTTGAACAGGCCAAGCGAGAAGAAACAAGCACGCCCAGCCCCGTCGGTGAACCTACAAGTAGACGCACCCGCCAAGCGAAGCGGAGCACATGGCGTTGTCGTAACATGACCATGACCCACGATAATGAGACGAGACAACATTATGTCGTCGAGACAGGCGTCGCAGACCAGCCAGACAAAGCCAGAGCCAGAGCCAAAGCCAGAGCCTTGACCCCTCAATAGACGGACTAGAGCTCGCCCAGAGGTCCATCGTTGCCGTCTCAACTCGTTGATGGCCCATTGCCAACCGAGACTCATCCTTGATCCAACCTAACCCGAGACAGAGCTGAAAGGCTACCCTCTCACCTCACCCCACCTGCTGGGTTTCTGTGGCCCAGGCTTAAAACCTTGCCGAGTAATGCGTCGAATCCACGATAGATATCGGTAGGGTCCCCTTCCCCCGCAGCGCTGAAGTAAGGCAGGTAGGTTCAAGCCACGGCGCTGGTCCTGTTCGCCAACGACAAGCGACAGCATGGACGACCTCAGCCTCGGGTTCGTTTCGTGAAGTGCCGGCCACTCACTCGTGTCCTCAGACCCGGTGGCGCTCATGACCATCGACATAGGCGCACCCAATAGTTCGGCCGCGCACAGATCCCCATTCCAGCCCGAGCACAAGGCGGACTTTTTCTCAACAGAATGAGTCCTCCCCACAATAGCTCGACGCCCACCGCTCGGGAGGCAGACCTCTCAAAGGGCCAATGTCAAAGAGACCTGTCACATCAGCCGTTAAAAGCATAGTAGACCAGACAGCCAAGCTCGCCCCGGCCCATCATCTGCCATCGTGCCGGGGGCTCGAACGAGCATAAGGTTTGGAGGGCACTTGCACCACTTTCAGATGACAGCTGCCATTCGCATCCATTCAAGCGCTCTGGCGGCACACCCTTGTGCCTGCGTCTGGTCCCCTCCCATCCTCAAACCCACACAACGCTCTGATGGGGGGGGGGGGGGGGGGCATGCTGCCTGTTTGCTTTATACAGGGGCGGTATCCAGTATGTTTCGGGCGACGCCCGCGAGACGGTATTGACAGCAAGCAATGGATGAATAGTATCCATGACAAACAAGACCTTGTGGCATCCGAGGGCCACGAGGTGATTGCGGTGTTTGTGCTTGGGCCGACGCCGATGCGCCGGATCCCGCGCCCCGGTTCAGCTAATCTATCGTGCAGAACCTCCTTCCCGTTTTCGGTGGTGAGACACGCTCTTCGATGGAGAAGGTTATGATTACGGACTAGGGACGAATGCCGGTGCTCGGGAGTGTCGCCAGGTGGATAAACGTGTGCGAAATCGTCGCCACGTCCGCTTCAGTCGCGGACACAGCTGAACCTCAAAGAGATTGTCAATGACGATAGGGCCGCGCTTGTCGTGTCGTCGACTCCACGAAGTGGTCCAAAGGCGGACGCATCCCGTTGCAGTTGCTTGGCCAAGTTAACGCGCGCAGACTCGAGGTAAGTTGCCATGTCATCAAGGCGCACCATCCCGTTCTCGCATCCCACGCGAATGATAGGGCCAAGCATACATACCGTCATCTGTTTGCCGTGTCGCTGATAGCGTGGGTGTTGGAAGATAGATGGCCACGGGGGATAGTTCCCCCCCCCACGATCATGAGGAGATTCTGGTGCCTGTGACTCCTCGCCTATCTTGGCTCCCGTCGACGGCTGTTCCGTGCATCCCGTAATGCTGACGGGGAGCGCGTGTCTTCAACTTGATGCAGGGCACGCTTGACCTGGTCAACTCGCGACCCTGTTCGTCGATACCCTGTAAACCAATTGCCTCCCGTTGGTAAATTGCTTTTTCCGCCGCCCGCCCGCGACACGGCGAACTGGGTCGAACCCGGTTGTAATGAGGCAATGGAGTAGATACAGACCGATGCTAATACAAAGGCAGCCAGGGCCTAAGGTGACATCAATCTCCCAAACCCCACGCCTTGTTTTCTAGAAGCAGCATAGATGCCGGTAGTTCAGTTGATGGAAATGAACCAGGCCACAGTTTCGCCCTCATCTCATCTCCCACCGGGGCTACACTACGACGACGCAACCCGACAGTAGCGCTTCGCAATTCAAGCGCCTACCAACGTCATTTCGCCTGAAGAAATACACCACGGATTGGCCCGTACCAGGGTTGGCTTGGCGGAGAGATTAGTAGAACCTAGCGGCCTGGCGGGCGGGAAGTACTGGGGCCGGAGACGGTGCGAAGCTTATTGATTGGTTTGGCGATCCGTCAAGATCAATTGAGTCCGGTCCAGTTGGGAACGCCGCCGCGTGCAATTGTTTTGGGCATCAGTGGATGGCAGAGAAGTAGGCCGACCGCCTGAGCTAAGTTCATTGCCATGTGCCTCGGACTGCCTTTGTGCTACCTGGTGCTCCTCGGGATGAAGACCCTGAATCGGGCGTGAACGAGCGAGCGTGGCGACATCTTTGCAACCATCAGGGTTGGTGTGGGTAGTGAACGTAGCATGTCTGCCTTTCCCACAATGTTATCGCGTGGCTTTGGTTTCTGGATGCTTCTTGGCCAGTTTCTCTACTGCGTTGTCAGTGGGAGATGGCCACAAGTCCAGCAGCTTTCTCGGCGACTTGGGTGCCCAGCGTCGCATCATCGTGGGGCCCTGAAACCTTCTCGAACGTCCAGCGCACAACGGACTGATACCTTGGGTACCGCGGATGTTCCCTATTGGGTCCGTCGACGACCTTTGTGGAGGCTTGCATTGGTACCTGCGCAAGGGTCAAACGACCTGACCATCTTGGGACAAAGGGCCAGAGGCGCCCCGCGGCGCCGGTCTAACGGGGAGGACCTTGGGGAGTTGCCGGGTCCATGGGGGCAAACACCGTCAGGGCCCTTGAACCCTGAACAGCATCCTGGTATCCTAGACCGGGTCTGTCTTCTCAGGCCCTGGTCTTGCCACCTGCCAGGCCTGCTTCCCGAGCCTTCCCTCTCTCGACAAGCTGGCGTTGGAAGGCCCAGGTATAGACTCGACTCGAGAACGGCGGCCGACACTATGGCTGGCTGGTGCTAGGGACAAGGGCCCTCGCAAACGATCAAACAACGAAGGGCGAGGAAGCTGAACTGAATCTGTCGGTATCTGTTCGTTGAACTTCCCCATACAAGTCATAATGCCTTCTTCAACGTTATGTGACTTTGGCTGTCTTCCGTTCCGGCCGATGCACTGATGTCAGCGATATCGGAAGCATCGTCAATCCAATGCCCTAGCAAGGGCTCGATCTGTTCGTAGAACTGCTCAGTATTCGCGATCAAGGTCCATCAGCACGCAACGTCGGCAGCCCTAGAGGCCTGGCAGGCACTTACCTCCACTGTATCTGTCAGCGTGGGACACTTCCTCCCCGGGACCCAGGGCCCAAAGACGGACGAGACCCTACACCTCGCCATACAGGGCTCGCTCGTTGCGGAGGATTTTCATGCCAAGCGGAGCCATCGTCTTCGCCTCGGTGTGAGCTCT